AACACCCAAACAAGATCACACCACAAGAAATGCCAATTCTTGCATTCATACAAGCCCTGGGTTTAAAAAAAGAAAGAAAGAAAGAAAAGAAGAAGCAGGAAATAGCAAAGGGATTTCTTCCGTGCTCCCATCTTTCTAAAAAGTTCAGAGAAACATCTTCTGCGTTCATAAAATACGAAGCTCCATTTAGCTGTGGAATTAATCCATTTGTGAGGAATCACACAGTAAGCGAATGAGAAACTACGCAAAGAAGTGGAGAGGATTTACACAACTGGTAACTAAGTCGCAAAAAGATAAACGAAGCAGTAAAATGAACCAGCTCTGCATGTTTCATAATCTCGGTGGCTCAATTCTTCTCCTTCCCTGCTTCCAGCCTTCAATCTTCACAACGCCCCTAAGAGGTAGGTCAGTCCGAGACTCACCAATGGACCTGAGGGATACTCAGGTTGCATTTTGATGGCCATCGATAAACTCTCCAGAAAACTGACTTTAACTAGAGCTCACTGTGGGGAAAACATGAATAAGAGATTTGAACCCAGCATCCCCAGGTCCTCTGCTGACAATAGAACCCCTTCAGGGTAATTTCAGGTAGTCCTCGGTTTACAACCATTCGTTTAATGACTGTTCGCATTTATAACAGTACTGAAAAAAGTGATTGATGACTGTCGGTGTGATCGACGATCGTTGCAGGGTCCCCATGGTCACCTGATCAAAACTTCGGACACTTAGCAACTGACTTGTATTTATGACGGTCGCAGTGTTCCCGGGGTCACGTGATCCGCTTTTGCAACCTCCAGACAAGCAAAGTCAATGGGGGGGAAGCCAGATTCACTTAATGACCATGTGATTCACTTAACAACTGCAGTGATTCACTTAACAACCATGGCAGGAAAGGTCGTACAATGGGGAGAAACCAGTAGTGAAATGTAAAATTTGTTACTACCGGTTCTGTGGGTGTGGCTTGGTGATGGTGGTGGTAATGTGACTGGGTGGGCGTGGCCAACTTTTTTTTTTTTTTTACTTTTAAAACCATTTTTTTCTACCTCTTCAGCGATCGGCAGAGGCTTTTTTTCTTTTAAAAGGCTCTGACGATCCCAGCCGAGTTGCCTGATCGGTAGAGGCTTTTTTTCTTTTAAAAGGCTCTGATGATTCCAGCCGAGTTGCCTGATTGGCAGAGGCTTTTTTTCTTTTAAAAGCCTCTGACGACCAGGCAACTCAGCTGGAATCGTCAGAGGCTTTTAAAAGCATTTTTTCTACAATCTCAGAGGTTGTGGAAAAAATGCTTTTAAAAGCCTCTGACAATCCCAGCTGAGCCGTGCGATCATCAGAGGCTTTTTTTTTTTACTTTTAAAAGCATTTTTTCTGCCGAAGAGGTTGTAGAAAAAATGGCTTTTAAAAGTAAAAAAAAAAAAAAAAAGAACCCTCTGATGATTGCGTGGCTCAAGCTGGGCGTGGTGGGGGGCAGGGATTTTTGCTACCGTTCTCCGAACCACCCGCCTCCATCGCTACCGGATCAGGCGATCCGGTCCGAACCGGGAGCATTTCACCCCTGGGAGAAACTCACTTAACTGTCTCATTTAGCAACAGAAATGTCAGGCTCGACTGTGGTTGTAAACTGAGGACTAGCTGCAATCACTTGTTATGTTATCCTTAAGCTTATTATGTGACACAGAAAACTGTTCTGTAGAAGATCCCACCATTAACTTGACTTATAACAGTTTGTTTTGTGACCATTCAAAGCTACACCGACACTGGAAAAAGTCACGATCATTTATCTCCATGCAGCTTTTCCACAGTTACATGATCCAAATTCAGACACTTGGCACCGGACTCATATTTATGACGGCTGCAGTGTCCTGGGGCTCATGTGATCCCCTTTTGCGACAATCAAAGTCCACAGGGAAGCCAGATTCACTCAACAACCGTGTAGCTAATTTAACAACTGCAGTGATTCACTTAACAACCGTGTAGCTAACTTAACAACTGCAGTGATTCACTTAACAACTGTGGCAAGGAAAAGTCGTAAAACGGGGCAAACCTCACTTAACAAATGTCACACTTAGCAACATAAATTTTGGGCTCAATTGTGGTCGTAAGTCGAGGACTACCTGTATTAGTAAAAAAGGAAGGTTAGAAACTAAAAATAAAATTTAAAAAAAGTTGGGGGGGGGTCCCTGTCAGAATTATTTATTGCCGCCCCTCAAGCAGGAGCCTGAAAGTCAACAGATATTGCTTGTGAATTAAAAATCCCAAAACGTCACTCAAATTGAGGATTTAACTTCCTGTCCGTTAGAAAACTTAAAACAATCAAAAGTGCTTGAGTAACGCAATGGCGTATCAACTCTCCCTCGCACTGATGATGTTACCCAGTCAGGTAATGAAATGTCTGCAAGGAAACCAACCCCAGCAAGAAAGCAGCAAGAACCCAACATATTGAGTCTACCTGGAGAGGCCTAAAACTACACACACACAAACACACCTCACACAGGCTCAGCTGGTTTAATACAGCTGTCAAGGTCTATAACTCTGAGGGAGGAAGGAGGAAGGCTCCATCTTTGGTTCTTTGTACAAACTGGAAAAGGAACATCTCCAATAAAATTGTTAAGATCGGACCGAAAGCTACACAGACACAGGATGTGTATCCACACAACACATTAAATCAAAAGCAAAGAAAGCACAGGATGCCTCGGGGTAGGGGTCCCCAACCTGTGGGACACGGCCCACTACCGGACCGTGAGGTGTTCGCCACCGGGCCGCGTGAGTGGCTGGCCAGTGCATGTACCTGTGCGCATACCCCCACTCGCACTAGCGTCGCTACAAATGTGTGCACACTCACAGCCCCGTTCGCATGTGCGAAAAGGCGCCAGCCCCCAGCCCCCCGCGGGCCCCCAACCCAGAGAAGTTCGGGACCTCTGCCTTAGCGTGCTAGGGTGAATTCTCTAGTTATCACAGACTCAGTTCAAAACAAACCAAAGCTCAGAGTCGCACAGTACATCAAACTCGGTTAGTTTTATCCCTGAGTTCCCAGAATTAACCCAACTGCCCAACAACCCAAGGAACCCTGAATGAACACTAGCAAGGATCATTGCGCATAGCCAGCCAGATAATCCCAATCTGGGAGGAGATTGTACAGGTCGTCCTCGATTTACGACAGTTCATTTAGTGACCGTTTGAACAATTCATTTAGAATAGAATAGCAGAGTTGGAAGGGACTTTGGAGGTCTTCTAGTCCAACCCCCTGCTTAGGCAGGAAACTCTACACCACTTCAGACAAATGGTTATCCAACATCTTCTTAAAACTTCCAGTGTTGGAGCATTCGCAACTTCTGGTGGCAAGTTGTTCCACTGATTAATTTTTCTCATTGTCAGGAAATTTCTCCTTAGTTCTAAGTTTCTTCTCTCCTTGATTAGTTTCCACCTATTGCTTCTTATTCTGCCCTCAGGTGCTTTGGAGAATAGCTTGACTCCCCGTTCTTTGTGGCAGCCCCTGAGATATTGGAAGACTGCTATCATGTCTCCCCTAGTCCTTCTTTTCATCAAACTAGACATACCCAATTCCAGCAACCGGTCTTCAATGATTTAAACAATAATCTTTGTTGCTCTTCTCTGCACTCTTTCTAGAGTCTGCACATCTTTTTTACCTCATGGCGACCATGACTGGATGCAAGGACTTATAAAGTGGCATTAACACTTCACGTTGATCTGGATTCTATCCCTCTGTTAATACAGCCTAGAACTGTGTTGGCTTTTTTGGAAGCTGCTGCACACTGCCGGCTCAGATTTAAATGATTAGATTAGGTTTAGTGACCGTTCATTTAGCGACCGTTCCAGCAGCACTGAAATAAGTGACTTATGACCGTTTTTCACACTTATGACCTTTGCAGCATCCCTGTGATCACGTGATCAAAATTCAAACGCGTGGCAATGGATTCATATTTATGACCGGCCGCAGTGTTCCTGGGGGAGGGGTCAGGTGATCCCCTTTTACGACCTTCTGAAGAGCAAAGTCAGCAGGGAAGACAGATTCACTTCACAAACTTGTCGTTAACAACTGCGGGGACTCGTTTTAACAAATGAGGGGCAAGAGAGGTCGTAATATTAGGGCAACAATCACTTAACAAAGGTTTCACTTAGCAACCGAGATGCGGGGCTCGGTTGTGGTCGTAAGTCGAGGACTACCTGTACTGTAGATAGTTCGGGTTTGTCCCAGAAGAAGGAAGCTGAGGAGCTGGAAAGCTGAGGAGAATATCAAGGATGGTGGAAAGTTCTGGATAATATGCGAAGGGTGATCGGATTTCTCCGGTGGGTGTGGATTTATTATCCATCACACCCAGTAGACAAGAATGGAAGTCTCCAGAATGACATCCAAGCTTTTATAACAGGGGTCTCGAATCTTGGCAACTTTAAGACTTGTGGACTTCAACTCCCAGAATCCCTCAGCCAGCAAAGCTGGCTGAGGAATTCTGGGAGTTGAAGTCCACAAGTCTTAAAGTTGCCAAGACTCGAGACCCTGTTTTATAAGGAAGATTTTCTTGATCGGAAAAGCCATTAAACCAGGGGTCCCAAACCTGTGAGCGGTGACCCACTACTGGGCCACAGCCTATTGGTCACCGGGCCGTTTGAGTAGCTGGCTGGTCCACGCACACGTGTGCTTGCGTGCATAGCCCCCTCATGTGAACATCGCAGGCCCTCGCAGGCCCACTCACACGGACACTTCACGTGAGCATCACAGGCGCTCACGATTCCACCCATGCGAGCAACTTAACAACTGTGGCAAGGAAGGTTGTAAAATGAGGCGAAACTCACTTAACAGCTGTCTTGCTTAGCAATGGATACTTGGGGCTCAATGGTGGTCGTACCTAAGAAAACCATCTGTAGTCCCCCCCTCCGTCCCCCCCGAGACTACAATGAGAGGTTGTTATTTTTTTCGTCTTCCTAACTGCCATGACGCCTGAAATTGCCACATTCCCAGATTGCAGAAAAGAAAAAAGCCGAGTTAGTGTTGAGGGAACTGCATTTTAAGAGGGGTGGGGAAAAAAATGAAATGATACAAATGGAAGTCTAGGGAGATTCTCACAGTCATTCAGCTCATGGTGGTCCCAAAGGTGGGAAGTGGACTTCCTTGTTTTGTTTTGTTTTTCTTTGAAGACGTTTCGCTTCTCATCCCAGAAGTTTCTTCATTCAGCTCTGACTGGGCGGTGGGGGAATGGAAAGATTTCGATTTCTTTGCAGACCGCTAGTCATTTGCATTCTTTTTAGAGAGCCGTTGAGGCCACTTGGGGTTTCATCTGGGTCCTGAGGATCACAGAGGAGGGAAGGATATGACATCGTCTATCTCCAGTCTACAAGTCTTTTCAGCAGTTCCAAAAAGGCTCCCCATCCGTTTGCACCACTCAAGTGACCCTGAGGGACACATATAAACCTCCAAGTGGCCTCGACGGCTCGTTAAAAGGATGCAAATGCCCAGCTGTCTGCAAGGAATAGAAATCCTTCCATTCCTCACCATCCAAGTCAAAGGTGAAGAAGCTTTTTGGATGAGAAGTGTTAGGAAATGGCTATTGTCATGGCACCTTCTTTCATATGTGGTGGTCCTGCCCCGAGACAAAAAAGTTCTGGACCAAAATATGAATCTGGCTATGAGAAATAGTGGAAGAAGATATAAAACTTTCCCCTGAAATTTTCTTATTAGGAATGATGGGAGATGGACTCTCTAAGGATAAGATACAATTAATTATACATGTTATAACAGCGGCCAGAATAACCTTTGCAAAATACTGGAAGGACAAACAAACCCCTCCAGAGGTGACAATAATAAATAAAATCCTAGAATGCGCAGAAATGGCAAAATTAACAAGTGCTCTTAAAGATGATGAGAATTCAAAATTTAAGGCAGTATGGGAAAGGTGGTACAAATGGTGGAATAATAGAACAAGATTATAAGGATATGTCTATCTTTAATAATGGTAGATTCGAAGATACTTGATATGTATATAATGTAAATATGTAACCGCACGACACCTCAGATGTTAATGGAGATGTGATGTTTTCTTTTTAATTTTTTTTTTTTAAATCAATAAAGTATCATAAAAAAAAAAAGGAAATGGCTATTGTCTAACTAGTTGGTCAGGCAATATATAAACTATCAATATATGTTTGCAGTCAAAAGGTATTATATTGCTTTAAGACTGTATTGCATCATCCTGTATCCTGATTGGCTAAGCTCTGTAGCCAATGTACTTAAGGGGAAGCCTGAATCATGGCTTGGGAACACTACACCATTTTATCTGCTTACTTGCTGTTACTCTCTACCTGTTCTCTCTGCATGATCACTGTTTGATCATTGCTACGTGTTGCTTTCTACTATTTATTGAATGTTTTAATATTGAACTTGTTCCTGTTTGAAACTCAAGAACTGTTTTATTGTGTAATGACTACAACAACTGGTAAGAAGACTTTGTACTTGAAATATCTCTGGATTGATATTTTAACTATCGCCTTATCTGCGTATGACCTGGATTGTTATTGGACTTTGTTTTACTTTTTCCTAAAAGTAAAAGAATACCACAACTCAGTGTGTCTGTATATTAACTGTGATTATTCATAAACACTCTCAGCCATTTTCATGTGCATACTCAAGGGGTACTCTGCTCAATAACCCATAACATCGGTTATGAGCCAAGAATATCCTTAACAAGAAGCGAAAACGTCTTCAAAGAAAAACCAGAAAGCCCAGTTGCCTCTTGGGATAAAAATAAGCACCTTTGGGATAAAAATGGAGGAAGTTTTCGGCCTCTACAGAGTAGCATCCTAACCCAAGAAGAACCCCAAACCACTCGAGTCAACCGAGCCTGCAGGAACCCACATCTGGCATATCTATAGGCAGAAATGCTTTTGTGACCGTAGTTCTATCTCTTGCCGCCCTAATGGCGATTCTATTGTGGAAGAAGGAAAAAAAAAAGACACAACAACACTACCAGCCAAATCAGGCAGCCTCTCAATGGTGGTGCTTGATAAAGTTCGAGTTATCGCTGAACCTCTTCCCGCAGATCGAGCACTCGTAAGGTTTCTCGCCCGTGTGAATCCGCTTGTGGACGATGAAGTTGGAGTAGTCATTGAAACGCTTCCCGCAATCCAGGCACTTGTAGGGTTTCTCGCCCGTGTGGATGCGCTTGTGGCGGGTGAGGCTCGAGCCCGTGTTGAAGCCCTTCCCGCAGTAAGAGCACTTGTAGGGCTTCTCCCCCGTGTGGACCCGCTGGTGGATAAGGAAGGCGGCCCGGCTGACGAAACTCTTCCCGCACTCGGAGCAGTTGTACCACTGGTCGCCGGAGTGGGTCCGTTCGTGGGCGATGAGGTTGGAACGGCGCCGGAAGACTTTGCGGCAAATCAGGCAGGTGTTGTCCGGCTCGCTGGGAAAGAGGCTGGGCTGCAGGACGCTCTCGTCCAAGTCCTCGTAGGTCCCCTGGGAATTGATGAATTTACCCTCCGCCTTCTCCTCGCTGTTCCAGTAGAGGGTTTCAGATGCTTCTCCTGGATTGGGAGAACAGGAGACGCCGGGCTCGCCTCTTCCGGACCACTCCCAACCTGACTCTCGATCCTCGCTGTCTTCCTCACAGAACTCCTCCTCATCTACATAAATGGATATATAGGTAGATCCATATACATTGAATCAATCAATTATTCAATCAGCCGGCATCCTCGTTCTCTACCCTGCATTTCTTGTCATCCATACATCATCCATCTGTCTGTCTATTTATCTGTGTATTATCTCTCTCTCTCTGCATCCATCCATATAAATGAAAATGAATAGATCAATCTGCTATAATCCTCATTCTCATCACCTATATACTTTTTTCACAATTTTTCATCTAATTTATAAACATACCGTATTTTTTGGAGTATAAGACGCTCCGGATTATAAGATGCACTTACCTTTTTTGGTGAGAAAAAGAAATCTCCCTCTGCCTCTGAGCAATTTTGCAGCAAACAGCCTGCTTTACTTTCATTTTCGTTTTCAGCATAGCTTGATTAGCACAAGAAAAAAAAAAATCTGCTCCCAGCAATTTACCTCCTTGCAGCAAGCAGCAGAGGCCACTGCAGCAACAGGCAATGGCAATCCCTGCAGCCTGAAACAGCTGAGAGTCAGGAGGCTGATCCAAGGGACAATCAACTTGTGCTAATTAGGCTGTGCTGAAGCTGAAATGGGCTTGCTGCTTGCTACGAGGAGGTAAATTGCTGGGAGGCAGAGGCCAAAGGGTGGGGGCCAATGGGTGGGCGGGGGTAAATTTGGTGTATAAGACGCACCCAAATTTTCACTCCCTTTTAGGGGGGGAAAAGGTATGTCTTATAGTCCGAAAAATACGGCATATCTAAGTAAATTTAATTTATGGCTCCTGATCTCCGCTCCTTCCGTCGGGACTTGAAGACTTGGCTTTTCAAACAAAAAGGCTGAGACTGATTCCAGGCTTTATTATTTACTACTAATTAATTATTTGGATTAAATTATGATTTTATTGTACTTGTTTCTTAACTTATGTTCGCCGCCCTGAGTCCTTCGGGAGAATGGCGGCATATAAATACATGTAATAAATTAATTAATTAATTAATTTAATCAATCTCCTCGAATCTTCATTCTCTAACCTGCATAACTTTCATACATCTATGTATGTATGTATGTATATATATATATATAAACCCTCTGCTGCCCATCTCCCAATGTTTGCTGGCTGCCAGAAAAAAAGCCTAGAAACTAGTGGATTGTGATTTCACTGAACTAGGGCTGCATAAAAATCTTGGTTTACGTAGGAAGAACCTGGCTAAAAAGAAATACATATATATAAACATATATATATGTTATTGTTCGCGAAGTCGTGTCCGACCCATCGCAACCTTATATATATATATATATATATATATATATATACCGTGTTTCTCCAAAAAGACGGCCCACCTTGAAAAGAAGCCCTATCACGTTCTTGAGCACATGCAATCAAATTGAGCCCCACCCACAAAATTAGCCCTAATTAAGACCCCCCCTACCCCGGGGTGCAGGGGGTAGGGCGAGGCACACAGGTAAAAAAAATAAGCTAAGGTGGGGATGGGGGAGGGGCTGGAGCTGCCCTTCTTACCAGGCCTCACATACCCTGACACCTGCCTTGTCTTCTTCTGCGGCCACTTGCCGCCACTCGCACGCATCGCCCCGGCCTCCGTTTCACCTTTAGATGCCTGCCGGAATGCATCTGAAGGCGAAACGGAGGCCGGGGCGATGCGTGCGAGTGGCGGCAAGCGGCCGCAGAAGAAGTGAGCCAACAGTGGGCTCCTCCTGGGCGGGGCTGTCGGTTCCACTGCCGCGAGGTGAGTCAATCATTAGAACCCTCCAAAAAGAAGGCGTAGCCGGTTTTTTGGGGGGGGTCAAAAGAAAACCGGCCTTCTTTTTGGAGAAACACGGGGTGTGAGAGTTGTGTTTTGTATATGTGTGATGTATATATAAATAAGTGTATGATGTATATATAAATACCGTTTCCCCGAAAATAAGACATTCCCTGATGTAAACCCAATCGGGCTTTTGAGCGTATGCGCTAAAATAAGCCTCCCCCCCAAAATATATAAAAGCAGAGCTGGAAATCAGGTAAGATGGCAAGAGGGGCTCCATCTTGTCCCACACCCCCCAAAATAATAAGACCTCCCCGAAAATAGGCCAAGTGCTTATTTCGGGGTTCCAAAAATTTAAGACAGGGTCTTATTTTCGGAGAAACCCAGTAAATATTCCGTACCTCACATAATTTCTCGTCATCTATATGAATATTTTTATAAACAGATACCTAATTGAATCGATCAATCAATCTCCAATGACTTTGCCTGTCAGAAGGTCGCAAAAGAGGATTACATGACCCCGGGATACTGCAACCGTCATAAATATGAACCCGTCGCTAAAAAAAAACCAAAATCTGAATTCTGATCACGTGACCATGGGGAATGCTGCAACGGTCATAACCCTGACGGTCATAAGGAGCTACCCTCAGCATTTTGCCCAAAACATTTCCTTTCAGAAGTGCGCGACACCCAAAGGCCCTCACCCAACAGCACCACGTGTCGGTCGCTCTCCCGCTTCGTCTCTCTAAGGGAGGGTCTCTGCCAGCTTTCCAGGGGGGGCTTCTCAGTCAAATGGTCCTTCTCCAAGAGGCTGATGGCCTGAAACAGAACAGAGTCCCAGCCCTTCCGTTTAGCAAGACGGTTCAGGACACGCTGTCCTTTGGAGCGATAGTGTGACCCTGCAATTTTCCTGGCCATGTTGTCAGATACTGTTTCCCTTGCCGCCACCGCCTCCTCCTCCTCCTCCTCCTCCTCAGGACTGAGAAAGAGAAACTGGCCCTGTCATCCACCTGACGTCATGCCCATAGCAGAATTAGAACTCAAGAATTTTCCGGTGCCTTGACTGGAGCTTTTGCCCACTGCATCAAATTGGCCTTTTCCTCACATCGCATTTGCCAGATGGCAACTTGTTCCCTTTGGCTCTTCTAACTTCCAGGTATTCTTTCTGTAACCTTAGTTTTCTTTCTCCTTCCTGCCTGCCTGACTCCTTTTCCCTTTCTCTCTTCCCTTTTTCCCCCCTTCGTCCCTCCATCCCCTTTCTCTCACCTTCCCCTTCCTTTCCTTTCCTCTTCCCTTTTCCTTCCCCTTTCCTTCTTTCATTTTTCCTTCTTTCCCTTCCTTCCTTTTCCTTTCCTCTTTCCTTTCCTTTTATTCCCCCTTCCCTTCCTTTCCTCTTCTTTCCCCTTGCCTATCCTTTCCGTTCCTTCCTTTTCTTTCCTCTTTCCTTTTATTCCCATTTCCTCTTCCCTTTTCCTTCCCCTTTCCTTCTTTCATTTTTCCTTCTTTCCTTTCCTTCATTTTCCTTTCCTCTTTCCTTTCCTTTTATTCCCCCTTCCTTTCCTCTTCTTTCCCCTTCCTATCCTTTCCATTCCTTCCTTTCTTTTCCTTTTCTTTCATTCCTTTCCTTTCCTTTTATTCCCATTTCCTCTTCCCTTTTCCTTCCCCTTCCTTCTTTCATTTTTCCTTCTTTCCTTTCCTTCATTTTCCTTTCCTCTTTCCTTTCCTTTTATTCCCCCTTCCTTTCCTCTTCTTTCCCTTGCCTATCCTTTCTATTCCTTCCTTTCTTTTCCTTTTCTTTCATTCCTTTCCTTTCCTTTCCTTTTATTCCCATTTCCTCTTCCCTTTTCCTTCCCCTTTCCTTTGGCCTTCTTTCCCTTTCCTTTTTTTCCTTTCCTCTTTCCTTTTATTCTCCCTTCCTCTTTTCTTTCCCCTTGCCTATCCTTTTCCTTCCTTCCTTTCTTTTCCTTTTTCCTTTTCTTTCATTCGTTTCCTTTCCTTTCCTCTTTCCTTTTATTCCCATTTCCTCTTCCTTTTTCCTTCCCCTTTCCTTCTTTCATTTGTCCTTCTTTCCCTTCCTTTCCTTTTTTCCTTTCCTCTTTCCTTTCCTTTTATTCCCTTCCTTTCCTTTTCTTTCCCCTTGCCTATCCTTTCCCTTCCTTCCTTTTCCTCTTTCCTTTCCTTTCTTTCATTCCTTTCCTTTCCTTTTATTCCCATTTCCTCTTCCCTTCCCCTTTCCTTCTTTCATTTGTCCTTCTTTCCTTTCCTTTCCTTTTTTCCTTTCCTCTTTCCTTTCCTTTTATTCCCCCTTCCTTTCCTCTTTTCTTTCCCCTTGCCTATCCTTGCCCTTCTTTCCTTTCTTTTTCTTTCCTCTTTCCTTCTTTGCTCTCCCTTCTTTCTTTCCTTCCCTTTCCCTTTCCTCTTTGCTTTTATTCCTCTTTCCTTTCTGCTTCCATCTCCTTTCCTTTTTCCCCTCTCCCCTTCCCTTCTGCCCAATCCACCCTCCCATCCCCATCTACCTCTCCAGAGACAGCCTGGCCCCTCTCCCCTTCTTCTCACCCACCGAGAGACCCCACCCCCCCGGGGGCAATCCCTCACCTGTTCTTCCTGGCCTTTGCTCTCTTGCTCTCGCAGCAGGAAATCCTCCGCCAGGATCACAGCCTGGGTGCAAGTCAGAGGGCGGCACTCCCGCACCCAGCCCTGCAGTTCCGGGGGCAGAATGGCCAGGAACTGCTCCAGCACTACCATCTCCAGGATCTGCTCCTTGGTGTGCTGATCGGGTTTCAGCCACTGGTGGCAGAGCCTTCGGAGGTGACGGCAGGCTTCCCGAGGCCCATTGGCTTCCTGGTAGCCGAATTGCCGGAAGAGGCAGCATTCGTCATTCCAGCTGATGGCCTGCTGTCCCCGGGGGAGCCTGGCAGCTTTCTGACCGTGAAACCTCTTCGGAGGCTCCATCCGGTGGGCTTCTCCACTCAGGCTGATTGTGAGCTGGGTCCCTCTCTCGGCTCGAGGCTGCTGGGGGCAACTGGCTCTCCCTCGGAAGGAGGTCAGGGACGGGCGAGGGTCACTTCTGGGCAGAGGCGTCCGAGGCTGTGAGCTTCCCCCTTCCAAGGAAGGAGCTTCCAGAACCTTCAAGAATTCCTGCAGCTGAGATTCCCACCGTTGTTGCAGGTTCCTGCAGGGTTCCGGGGTTGCTTTCTCAGGATCAGCCCTCTCCCAGAAATCCTGGATGCGGCCTGTGGGAATCAGGCGGGAGCCCGGGCCCACTCCCTTCTCTTTCGTGGCCCCCGCCAGGAGGCGTTCTCCCATCTGCCTCCCTTTCCCTTGCTCGGCCTTCAAAGGACTCGGAGCCGATTTCTCCCTGAGCTCTGCCGCCATTTTGTTTCTCTGGGCTACGGCCGACTGGATCGATGCTTCTGCCCGGTGATGGCAACGCTGCCCCTGTCTCAAAAGAAAATTGGCATGGAGATCAAATCCACAGCCATCTCAATGCCAACAAGCTTCCCCCCCCTGCCCCTCACCCCCGCAAAACAAATGGAGAACGTCAGATAGAATTTGAGACAAAAGCCTGTAATGGAAGTGACTAGGCCAGTGATGGCGAACCTTTTCGGCACCGAGTGCCCAAAGCAGAACACACACGGGCCCGGCAGAGCGCTGAAAACTAGAACACCAGCTGGCTCGTACGCGAACACCAGCTGGCCGGCATGTTTGCGGGCACCAGAAACCAGAAGAGGAGCTGGCGACAGTGAGCATGTCCACAGAGGGCTCTGCGTGCCACCTCAGGCACACGTATCATAGGTTCGCCGTCACCAGACTAGGCAGAAGCCTGGCACCCACTCAATTCCTTTTTCTTTAAAAAAAAAAAAAAAAGCTTTGTATTACCCTTCCCGTTATGATAAACTGTTCTGCCCCAGCTACGGACCCCAAAGAACGCAGCAGACACAAAGTCCGTTCAAACCTTAGTTTACTGAATAAACCAGTCGTTTACAACAACGGCTGTTAATTAATTGCATTAACAGCCGCCAAGAATTCAAAGAAGAATAACTGAAAACTTACTATGGTTGGCAGAATGCCCAGAAGCAATTTGCAGGAAGCTGATAAGATAAGCAAGACAAGACATGAAGGTATGTGAACGAAATTGTTCCCTGCAAATTGCTTCAGTCAGCGTTCCTCCTTAAATAGGCTAAGGGAGCGGCCAATTAGCCCTAAACCTTACTCTTGAGGAGACCTCCTCCTGAGAAGCCACTCCTGCCTTTTGGCAGCTCTGCGCACCCGTGCATCGAGAAGAGGCTCCTCCTCTTCATCCTCTTCACTTAAGGGAGCTTTTAGAGGTTCTGAAGGCTGAGTCCCCGCCTCTGGCACATCTTCTCCAGCCTCCTCATTGTCGACTCAAGTGCCAGCTGCACAGGCTGCTGGCGCAGCACCACACCAGCCTCCTCGCTGTTGGAATCAGCTACTAGCTGCACAGGCCGCTGACAGGCCACAACATAGACTTTGCCACCTAGGGTGCTGGGAAACTAACCAAGGAGAGTCCCAAAGGTGCTTTTTCAGGAGGCAACTGGACTTTTGTTTTTCCTTGAAGATGTTTCGCTTCTCATCCAAGAAGCTTCTTCAGCTCTGACCGGATAGTGGGGAATGGAAGAATATATATTCCTTGCAAACAGCTGGTCATTTGCATCCTTTTTAGAGAGTCGTTGAGGCACTTGGAGGTTTATCTGTGTCCTCAGGGTCACCTGAGTGGTGCAAATAGTTCCTCTAATCTGCAATTTTTTTCTGGAAACCCATTCATATAAACCTCCAAGGGGCCTCAACGACTCTCTAAAAAGGATGCAAATGACCAGCTGTCTGCCAGGAATATAAATCCTTCCATTCCCCACCATCCGGTCAGAGCTGAAGAAGCTCCTTGGATGAGAAGTGAAACGTCTTCCGAGAAAATCCAGTTGCCTCTTGAAAAAAGCACCTTTGGAACAGGGGTGGGTTCTAAAAATTTTTTACTATCGGTTCTGTGGGCGTGGCTTATTTTGTGGGCGTGGTTTGATGGTCATGTGACAATTCTTTAGGATTTAGCAGAGGTACTGGTCTACCAAGCTTTTATTTATTTATTTATTTATTTTATTATATTTCTATACCGCCCTTCTCCTGCGGGACTCAGGGCGGTGCACAGCCGAGATAAAACATAACATATAAAATTTAAAAAAAAGTTTAAAAACAATTAAATAATTTCGGCCCAGTAATTAAAATAACCCAATTAAAACCAAATTCAATTTTAACTGCTTGTAGAGCTGTACCGGTCTATCCATTTGTTTTTGGAGCGTCCCGGTCTACCACCACACTGCCTTTTAACACTGATCAGCTGTAGGGCGGCCCTTTGAAGCCCCACGACAAGAGTTTAAACAGGTTTTTTCCTTCTAGCCAATCAGCTGGGAGGGCCCAGCTCCCGAACAAAAGAGAACCGGTTCGGTGACGTCATATCGTCACGGCTACCGGCTCGGCTGAACCGGGAGGAACCCACCACTGTTTTGGGACAACCACGACCCGAATGACTGAAAATCTCCACAGACATCCAAGGCCCCTTCTCACTCTGACAACAGCCTTGCAAGGTAGGTTGGCTGAGAATGTACCACAGCTAAGGAGAGACATGAACCAGGAGGCCCTCCTTAGCGCTAATCCAACCATCTTTCGGAGATGATGAAACTCTTGAGGTTCACAAACATTCAAAATTTGGGGGTTCTGACCCACCCCCAAAATCCAAAGCCCAGGTACTGGCTTTCCACCTTTGTATTTTTCAAGAGCTTGAGGGGAGCATAGCTACCATTTGTCAACAGAGATTTGAAACTCCAGAGGTTGTGAATGCTCCAACACTGGAAGTTTTTAAAAAGAGATTGGACAACCCTTTGTCTGAAATGGTAGAGGGTTTCCTGCCTAAGCAGGAGGTTGGACTAGAACAGGGGTGGGCAACTGTGGCCCTTTTACAACCTGTGGACTTCAACTCCCAGAATTCCTGAGGCAGCCAAGCTGGCTCAGGAATTCTGGGAGTTGAAGTCCACAGGTCATAAAGGGGCCATATTTGCCCAGCCCTGGACTAGACCTCCAAGGTCCCTTCCAATTTGTTGCGTTCTTTTATATTCTTTCCTACTGTACAGTACTGTACTCAGTCAACCAGGTCATGGTTGTCCCAAAGATGCTTTTTTTTTTTTTTTCCAAAAGGAAACTGGACTTTCTTGGTTTTTCCTTGAAGACGTTTCGCTTCTCATCAGTTCTGAAGAAGCTTCTTGGATGAGAAGCGAAACCTCTTCAAGAAAAAAACAGAAGTCCAGTTGCCTTTTGAAAAAGCACTTTTGGGACATAGCTGCCTTTTGTTTTTTTTCTTTCCTTCTTCTGGGAGTATCCCAACCCTCAGAACAATTCTGCCTCTCTCAATTGCACGGCTCTCTCCAAGCTGGACAACTTTGTAAGACTTGTGGACTTCAACTCCCAGAATTCCCCGGCTAGCAGATTTCAAGGCTTTTGTGGACTTCCAACTCCCAGAGTTGAGTACGATGGCTGGGGAATTCTGGGAGTTGAAGTCCACTAGTCTGATAAAATTGCCACGTTTGGAGAGCCCTGCTCTTTCATTTCATTCAGCCCATTCCGATGGCTTTGCTGGCTGGGGAATTCTGGGAATTGAAGTCCGCCAGGCTTAAAGTTGCCAAGGTTGGAGACCCCCTGGTTTAGCGTTTGTCTCAGAATGGGCTGAATGAAATGAAAGAGCAGGGCTCTCCAAACATGGCAACTTGGTAGTACAGGGGTTTAAGGCACCCTGTTATTAAGCTGGTTATTAAGACCAGCTGCCTGCAATTACTGCAGGGTTCGAATCTCGCCAAGGCTCAAGGTTGACTCAGCCTTCCATCCTTTCAAAGGTAGGTAAATTGAGGACCCAGTTTGTGGGGGCAATAAGCTGACTTTGTATAAATATACAAAAGGATGAAGGCTATTGCTGAGCACATTGTAAGCCGCCCTGAGTCTTCGGAAAAGGGCGGCATATAAATCAAATTAAAAAAAAAAAAAAAACTTAATAAGACTTGTGGACTTCAACTCCCAGAATTCCCCAGCCATCATACTCAACTCTGGGAATTGGAAGTCCACAAAGTCTTGAAATCTGCTAGCTGGGGAATTCTGGGAGTTGAAGTCCTAAAGTCTTGAAATCTGCTAGCTGGGGAATTCTGGGAGTTGAAGTCCTAAAGTCTTGAAATCTGCTAGCTGTGGAATTCTGGGAGTTGAAGTCCTAAAGTCTTCAAATCTGCTAGCTAGGGAATTCTGGGAGTTGAAGTCCACAGTCTTGAAATCTACTAGCTGGGGAATTCTGGGAGTTGAAGTCCTAAAGTCTTGAAATCTGCTAGCTAGGGAATGCTGGGAGTTGGAAGTCCACAAAGTCTTGAAATCTGTTGGCTAGGGAATTCTGGGAGTGGAAGTCCCCCAGGCTTAAAAAGTTGCCAAGGTTGGAGACCCCTGCTCTAAATTACAGGGTTCAGCAAGCTGAAACAACACCCCACCCCGCTTTCCCCCCCCCCTTCCAGGCTCCATCTTTCTTGGCACTTCCAGATTTGGGGGCGGGGGTGGGGAGAAGAGTACTCCACACTCCGGAAGAAACCTGGAGACTTTGAAAGCCCTTCTTAAACAAACCACGACGGCCACAAGCCACGATCGGCAGCTTGCAAACCTTTGGTAGAACTTTTTCCACCTTGCTCCCCTGAAATCGCTTCGCGGGGGGGGGCTGTTGTTCTTTCTTTGGGGGGTCCTCCCCTCCCCCCCACCTCGCCCCAAATCCCTTTTTTCCTCCTTTTTTCTTATCCTTTTAATTAATTATTATTATTATTATTTTTGCAAATGCTCATCGCTGCATTTCAGAAAAGGATGCCCCATTTTTTTTCCCCCTCTCCCCTTGTTTTTAACCTCCTGCAAGCGGACGAGCGGCTCCCTTTTTACCCCCTCCCCCCAAATTCCCAGGATTGCTGCGAGCAGCTCGGCCTCTGCAAACTTCCACCAATCTGAACTCCCAACCCCGCCCTGGCCCTGGCCATCCAAGCCTGGGAACCCCGCCCGGGAGAAAGGAAAAGTCGGGCCACCTCCGGGCTCCCCGTCCGGGAAGGCGCCGCCGCCGCCGCCGCCCCGCTGCCCTTTTGCACTCACCCCGATCTCCCTCCCACGAGCTGGGAAATTCAAAGGCCACTTTCCCACGGGAGGCGGGGCCGGAAGTGACCGGGACTGTTTACATCCCGCCCTCCCTCGCCGCAACTTCCTGTCCTCTCTAGGAAGCGGGTAGGGCTGGGGTTGAAAAGGTGAAAAAGGGGGAGGAGGAGAGAGAGAGAGAGAGAGAGAGAGAGAGACGGTTGTGCTACTGTAACGGTCCAGAGGTCCCCAAACTTGGCTGCTTTAAGACTTGCGGACTTCAACTCCCAGAATTCTCCAGCCAGCTATGCTATGCTATGCTATGCTATGCTATGCTATGCTGGCTGGAGAATTCTGGGAGTTGAAGTCCGCAAGTCTTAAAGCGGCCAAGTTTGAAGACCTCTGCTGTAACCTCTCTTTTAAACTGTTTTTTCAAAACTTTTAAAATTTTTAAATTTTAAATTTGTCTTATGAATTTGGGGTGTTTTAAATTTCGTTTTCGGGGCCAATTATTTAATTGTATTTTAATGGTTTTTTAATATTTGTATTATATGTATTTTATTTGGCTGTTCACCGCCCTGAGTCCTTCGGGAGTAGGGCAGTGTACAAATTAAATTAATTAATAATTATTATTAATTAAATAATTATCAATTAATAATAATAATAATAATAATAATAATAATAATAATAATAATAATAATAATAATAATAATAATAATAATAATAACCACTTCAAACCTCCCCCCCAAAGCACATTGATTTCAAACCAGAGATTTTTTTATTAGGGATCTTACCAGAAACATATAACAGAGAATTGAGTTACCCGATTGTGAATGTATTGACAGCGGCTGGAATTGTGTTTGCTAAAAATTGGAAAAATGAGGAAATACCCAAAACAAGATGAAGTTATTAGGAAAATTATGGAATGTGCTGAAAGGAGCAAATTGACATTTGAAATTAAGAGAACAGCTAGAATTGTGTTTGCTAAAAATTGGGAAAATGAGGAAATACCCAAAACAAGATGAAGTCATTAGGAAAATTATGGAATGTGCTGAAAGGAGCAAATTGACATTTGGAATTAACAGAACAGCTAGAATTGTGTTTGCTAAAAATTGGGAAAATGAGGAAATACCCAAAACAAGATGAAGTCATTAGGAAAATTATGGAATGTGCTGAAAGGAGCAAATTGACATTTGGAATTAAGAGAACAGGGAGATAAACAATACTATAAAATAGGGGATTTATTTTAGCAATGGCTAGATAATAAGACATGGAAATGAAATAATATGAAATAGATGTTATAATACAATTTGTGGAAAATGATTTTCATAGGATGGAAATGCCATTGTTAAATGAATGATAAATGAGAATAATGATAGAAAGATATTAGATGTTAGATCGATAATACGAGAAATTAGAGAATTTGTAATTAGAGAATTTGTATGAGAGGAAGCACAAAAGGTTTGTAACCAACCGACACACTACTTGTAATTGGAATGGATGATGGATGTTTTTATGTTTTGTTTAAAAAATAAAAATCTTTTTTTTAAAAAAAAAAAAAAAACCTTCCGCCCCCAACCTCTTTTAAAGGGATCTCACGGGACTGGAACAGCCCTGACTGAAACGGGTTAGGGTCTCCTGTTTGAGCAGGAGGTTGGACTAGATTACAAGGTTCACTTAACAATTGTGTCAAAAAAAGGGCGTAAAACACGGCAAAACTCACAACAATTGCCTTGCTTAGCAATTGCAGTCGTAAGTCAAGGACTACCTGTACTCCATATCTATGTTGACATAGGTGTCTTAGCATTATGAAGAACCACACAATGGATGTGGTTGCTCAACCAGCTGCAAATGCCTCTGGCAGTTCGATTCACTCGCAGGAGCCTGAGTGGTGTAGGAGGCTAATGCCTCCTACTAAGGCAGCATTTAGCATCCAGCTGCCTGCAATTATTGCGAGTTCAATTCTCACCAGGCTCAAGGTCGACTCAGCCTTCCATCCTTTCTAAGGTGGGTAAAATGAGGACCCGGTTTGTGGGGGAAATAAGATGACTTTGTATAAAATATACAAAAGTATGAAGGCTATTGCTTAACGCATTGTAAGCTGCCCTGAGTCTCCGGAGAAGGGCAGCATATAAAAATAAATAAAAAAAATAAAAAAATGGTTCCATTTTATCAAGGAAATGGTTACGGCCAACTTCATCAAATACGGTACAGAAATCTAAGTATACCCTATCGGCCATATTCATTCATTCATTCAATCAATCAGTCAGTCAATCAATCTATTAATCAGAACAGAGCTTAAGGGACCTTGGAGGTCTTCTAGTCCAACCCTCTGCTTAAACAGGAGACCCTATAGCAGAGGTCTTCAAACTTGGCAGCTTTAAGACTTGTGGATTTCAACTCCCAGAATTCTCCAGCCAGCATAGCATAGCTGGCTGGAGAATTCTGGGAGTTGAAGTCCCCAAGTCTTAAAGTTGGCAAGTGTGAAGACCTCTGCTATAATCCCTTCAACCCACCCACCCCCACCTCTTTCAAAGGGATCTCATGGGATAGGAACAGCCCCCTGTCTGAAATGGGATAGGTCTCTTGCTTGAGCAGGATGTTGGACTAGATTACAGGGGTCTCCAACTTTGGCAATTTCAACTCCCAGAATTCCCCAGCCAGCTTTGCTTAAAGTTGCCAAGGTTGGAGACCCCTGGACTAGAAGACCTCCAAGGACCCTTCCAACTCAATTGATCGATGATTGATTGATAGAGACTTGGCTGGCTGGGGAATTCTGGGAGTTGAAGTCCACCCATCATATAAAGTTGACAAAAACACCAATTTTAGGAGTGGGGAGACTTTCTGGTGCAGATAGTCAATAGTACAATATTTATATTAATCAGAATAGAGCTGGAACGGACCTCGGAGGCCTTCTCACACCCTGGTCAGCGCTTCTTTATTCTCCTGCCGTCAGGAAGGAGATATAGAAGCCTAGGCAGCTGCACAAATAGGCTGAAGAACAGTTTTTATCCATGGGCTGTCAGGCTCCTGAATGGAAAATAACTTTACAACAACATAGTACGATTGACTTGCGGGGCCGGTGCAATGTGCAATAAATTCACATGGTGCAGTAGGATTGTGTGTTTGTTAGTAGGATTCACTGGGTTAGGGATTTTTCTTTTCTTTTACTGTCTTTCACGGTGAGTTGTATTGGGTTGGGGGGATGCACGAAGGGAAGCTCAGACAATCTCATTGTATACACATTGTACTCTGACAATAAAGCAGGGGTGAAATCTACTTACCTTCCCAACCAGTTCCGAAGTGCAAGCGTGTTGCGCACGCACTTCCTTTGCTCACATGCACACGCAAATCACATGTGCACACGGACCCTCTGCGCATGTGCAAAACCTGTGCATGCGCAGGGGGTAAAAAACAGGTTACTTCCTGGGTAAAACCAGGAAGTAACGACAACCAGGCGGGTGGGTAGAGCCTCGCACGGCCATCGCTACCAGTTCTCCGAACCACTGGTTTGACTAAACCGGTCTGAACCGGGAGCATTTCACCCCTGCAATAAAGGTTTAAATCTGAATTTTCTAGTCCAGCCTCCTGCTCAAGTAGGAGATGCCCTATGCCTATACCATTTCAGATAGATGCCTGTCCAGTTTCTTCTTAAAAACCTCCAATGATGAAGCCCTCACAACTTCTGGTGGCAAGCTGTTCCACTGTTTAATTGTCCTCGCTGTTAGGATATTTCTCTTTAATTCCAGGTTGCTCATTGTTTCTTGTCTTGCCCTCTGGTACTTTGGACAATTTTGACCCCCGTTATTTATTTATTTATTGATTGGTTCGATTTATATGCCGCCCTTCTCCGGAGACTCAGGGCAGCTTACAATGCGTGAAGCAATAGCCTTCATACTTTTGTATATACCTGCTTAGTAGGGCTTTCGGCCCCCCCTAAGCGGTGTTTTTTTTAATACAAAGTCAGCTTATTGCCCCCACAATCTGGGTCCTCATTTTACCTACCTCGGAAGGATGGAAGGCTGAGTCAACCTTGAGGCAACCTCTTTGTGGCAACCTCTCAAATACCGCAACACTGCTATCATGTTCCCCCTCGTCCTTCTTTTCTCTAGACTGGCCATACCCAATTCCTGTGACTGTTCCTCATGATTTAATCTCCAGGTCTTTAATCATCTTAAGTTGCTCTGCTTTACACTTTTTCCCAAAGTCTCAACATTTTTTTTTTTGTAATGTGTGGAGAACAACGCCCTCTTTTCAGAATAACAATTTTACTAAAAGGCTTAAGCTATTGTGCACTTCTCTTTTTTTTTTTGTACAAAATGCCAGGAAAGATTGCCCCCAGTCTCCTGATTTTTGGCTACCGTGCATCAGTGATTCCCAACTTGAGGACTTCAATTCCCAGAATTCCTAGCAATGGGCACACTGCCTGAGGTATTCTGGGAGTTGAAGTCCACCCATCCCACCATGGCCAGGAGTGGGAAAACTGGTCTAAAATATGAACAAGGCTCTCCTCGGACAATGCCTCCAAAGAGTTAAGTGAACAGAGAGTTGGTTTGCCAGAGACGGCCGGAAATGTACTAAGAATTTCAATAAAAAGTGGAAGGGAGAGAAAAAGGGATGGAAAACAAATCTAGCATTTGAATTTGCCCTCTCTTCTCCCCGGCTTGAACATCATCCATCACCAAGGCTGTTGATCTGTGAAAAGTGCTTTTAATCTGCATTTCTTTGCTTGAGAAAAAGAGAGGGGTTCAAAGAGAAATCCCAGAATATTATCCTGAGCTTTTCTTAATGACTCTTTTTTCCTTCCTCTTTAGACTTAACTTCATCTCGGGTTTCATTCTGAGACAGATCCTAGCTAAACCATGTTTGAGCAACCCTGGAGGCCTTCCTGCTTGACTTAGAAGAAATTTCCATTAGAAGAAGTTCTTAGAAGAAGTTCAAGGAGTTGTTTTGCAAGGTAAGAGACCAACGTCTGACAAAACAATAAATCTTTGCTTGCCTGCAGCTGGCATGGGACATTTTTGCCCAGCCAAACCACACTCCTTATCCTGAAGACCTGGACTGCAGCTCCCATCATTAGCTGGCATGGTTGTGCTGGTTGGGGATAATGGGAGTTGTGGTTGTGTAGAAGTGATGCACCATATGTGATTTGTGGTATGGACCCTTTGCAGGGTGCTGAGCTCTGGAAGGTGGCGGCTAATGGATGATTTGCTTGCAAAGTATATTCTGATTTACTTAGTCTTTTGCCTGGAAGTTCACAATTAATAATTTGAAATAACTTTTTATGGATTCTGCCCACTTTCCTATTATGCTTATACCAGGGGTGAAATCCAGCAGGTTCTGACAGGTTCTGGAGAAGCGGTAGCGGGAAATTTTGAGCAATTCGGTGAACCGGCAATACCACCTCTGGCTGGCCCCAAAGTGGGGAGGGAATGGAGATTTTGCAGTATCCTTCCCCTGCCACGCCCACCAAGCCACACCACGGCCTACCAAGCCACAGAACCAGTAGTAAAAAAAGTTTGGATTTCACCACTGACTTATACTCATAGTGTTATTGTTGTTTTATAGTTTGTGTTGGAGAGGTTGTGATTTTAAAATGTTGCCATGCTTTTTTCCCCCTAGCTGTAGCTTTTTGTGGATAATATGAATAGCAGCTTTGCTGGGTTACTATTAAAGCCATTGTTGTTTTAATATCTGAATGGCATAGGCCAAGTTTCCTGCCTGAGCAGGGGGTTGGACTAGAAGACCTCCAAGGTCCCTTCCAACTCTGTTATTCTAGTCTATTATTGAATAAGAAAGATGATCTTGATGGAGATATGCAGAAAGCCTAATCTCAATAAAAGGGGCTGAAACATTTTTGAGGTCCACAACAACAATACAGGTAGTCCTCAACGTACGACCACAACTGAGGCCAAAATTGATGTTGTTGTTATTATTATTATTATTATTATTATTATTATTATTATTATTATTATTATTATTATTATTATTATTATTATTATTATTAATTCAATTTATATACCGCCCTTCTCCTGGTGGACTCAGGGCGGTGCACAGCCAAAACTAAAATACATAACAATACAAAATTTAAAATTAATTAAAAGAATTATATACTTTGGCCCGAATTAAAACAGTGCGAATTAAAACCCATTAACAAATTAAAACTAAACAATTAATACCCATTAAAAACTAAAAAAGGGGGGGCGGGGTTCACGCCAGCCCTGCTTGCTGGAAAAGAAGAGTTTTCAGGGCTCGGCGAAAGACCCGAAGATCCGATATCCTTCTTATCTCCGGGGGCAAATCGTTCCAGAGGGCGGGGGCTGCCACAGAGAAGGCCCTCCCCCTGGGGGTCGCCAGCCGACATTGCCTGGCCGACGGCACCCTGAGGAGTCCCTCTCTGTGGGAGCGTACTGGACGGTGGGAGGCTATCGGCGGCAGAAGGCGGTCCCGCAAGTACCCAGGTCCTATGCCATGGAGCGCTTTAAAGGTGGTAACCAACACCTTGAAGCGCACCCGGAAGACCACTGGAAGCCAATGCAGCTCACGCAGGAGAGGTATCACATGGGAGCGACCCCTCGCTCCCATAATCCCCCGCGCGGCCGCATTCTGCACCAGTTGGAGCTTCCGGGTACTCCTCAAGGGGAGCCCCATGTAGAGAGCATTACAGTAGTCCAGGCGGGAAGTGACGAGTGCCTGAGTGACTGTGCGTAAGGAATCCCGATCCAGAAAGGGACACAACTGGCGAATCAGGCGGACCTGATAAAAAGCCCCCCTGGCCACGGCCGTCATATGCTCTTCTAAAGACAGCCGTGCATCCAGGAGGACGCCCAAGTTGCGAGCCCTATCCGTGGGGGCCAATAACTCGCCCCCAATAGCCAGCGATGGTACCAGCTGGCTATATCGGGACGCCGGAAGCTACAGCCACTCGGTCTTGGAAGGGTTGAGTCGGAGCCTGTTACTCCCCATCCAGATCCGCACGGCCTCCAGGCACTGGGACATCACTTCAAGGGCATCGTTGGGATGGCCCGGGGTGGAGATGTACAGCTGAGTATCATCAGCGTACTGATGGAACTCCACCCCAAAGCCACGGATGATCTCACCCAGCGGCTTCACATAAATGTTGAACAGAAGGGGCGAGAGGACCGACCCCTGAGGCACCCCACAAACAAGGCGCCTCGGGGTCGACCTCTGCCCCCCTGCCAACACCGACTGCGACCGGTCAGAGAGATAGGAGGAGAACCACTGCAAAACAGTGCCCCCCACTCCCAACCCCTCCAACCGGCGCAGCAGGATACCATGGTCGATGGTATCAAAAGCCGCTGAGAGATCTAACAGGACCAGGACAGAGGAACAACCCCTATCCCGAGCCCTCCAGAGATCATCCACCAACGCGACCAATGCCGTTTCCGTGCTGTGCCCAGGCCTGAAGCCGGACTGGAGCGGATCCAGATAGACAGCTTCATCCAGGTACTCAGGAAGCTGTTGCGCCACCACACTCTCAACAACCTTCGCCAAGAAGGGAAGGTTGGAGACCGGACGATAGTTAGCCAAAACAGCCGGATCCAGAGCAGGCTTCTTGAGGAGGGGCCTCACCACCGCCTCTTTCAAGGCGGACGGCAAGACACCCTCGCTCAAGGAAGCGTTGATAATACCCTGGAGCCAGCCTCGTGTAACCTCCCGGGAGGCCAGCACCAACCAGGAGGGACACGGGTCCAATAAACATGTGGTCGCGTTCAGCCGCCCCAGTATCCTGTCCATGTCCTCGGGAGCAACAGGGTCGAACTCCTCCCAGATGGCAGTCTCAAGACCGACACCCATCATCCCGTCTGTACCTACCCAGTCAGAGACCAAGCCTTCCCGAATCTGAGTGATTTTATCGTGCAGATACTGAACAAAATCCTCGGCACGACCCTGCAAGGGATCCTCCCGCGCTCCCAGATGAAGGAGGGAACGGGTCACCCTAAACAGGGCGGCCGGGCGATTATCTGCCGATGCGATAAGAGCGGAAAAATAGTTACATTTTGCCGCTTTTATCGCCACTAGGTAAGTCTTAATATGAGATCTTACCAGTGTTCGGTCGGATTCGGAGCGGCTAGATCTCCAACTGCTCTCTAGGCGTCTTTTCTGGCGCTTCATCCCCCTCAGCTCCTCGGAGAACCAAGGAGCCAGGTAGACTCGGCGACAGGTCAGAGGCCGCACAGGCACGACTCGGTCCAAAGCATCAGCAGCCGCCCTATCCCAGGCGGCCACCAGATCCTCAGCCGAGCCATGAGTCAGAGTCTCAGGAAATGGCCCAAGCTCCGTCTGGAACCTATCAGGATCCATCAGGCGCCTGTGGCGGAACCATCTGGTCTGTTCCGCCTCCCTGCGGCGGGGTGTGGCGGTTAGAAAGTCAAGCCTAAGAAGGGAATGATCCGACCATGACAAGGGCTTAATCACTATCTCCCCTATCTCGAGATCATTCTTCCACTGCCCAGAGACAAAAATCAGATCCAGAGTGTGTCCTCCTATGTGCGTGGGTCCACAAATTAATTGGGTCAGGTCCATGGCCGTCATGGAAGCCATGAACTCCCGAGCCGCCTCAGACGCTTCACCGACAGACGGCAGATTAAAGTCCCCCATGACCATAAGCCTGGGGGTCTCCACCGCCACCTCGGCAATCACGTTGAGGAGCTCGGGCAGGGCCGCCGACACGTGGCAGGGAGCCAGGTACGTAATCAGCAAGCCCATCTGCCATCTGCCTGTTGCTAAGTGAGAAATTTGTTAAGTGAGTTTTGCCCCATTTTACGACTTTTCTTGCCACATTTATTGAGTGAATCACTGCAGTTCTTAAATTAGTAACACGATTGTTAAGAGAATTTGGTTTCCCCATTGACTTTTCTTGTTGCAAAAGGGATCATGTGATCCTGGGACCTGCAGCCGTCATAAATGTGAATCAGTTGTCTAGCATGCAAATGCAAATCACATGACCATGGGGATGCTGCAATGGTCATAAGTGGTGAAAAATGGTCACAAGTCACTTTTTTCAGTGCTGTTGTAACTTTGAACGGTCACTAAGCGAACTGTCGTAAGTTGAGAACTACCTGTATAACCTTTTGACTGGTTGCTTAGTAACCATTCAAAGTTATGATGGACCTCCTTGGGGGTACTTATGAGTGGAATTGGAAGTTCAAATTGTGGTCACATGACCACATTTTAGCCAATCAGCAACTGGATCACATTTATGGCCATTTATAGCCCCCTGTGTGGCATGTGATGGCGTTTTGCGATGGTTTTACCAAAAACTGGGATTTACTTCCCGTTTTCAGCCAAACAGCTCTCATACCAAAACCACAGCTTCACTTAATGCCCAGGGCGTTTGCTTAACAACTGCCCAAAAAAGATCATAAAATCAGGTGGGTTACTTGGCAATGACCAGGATGGGCAACCTCCATTACATTTGTAACTCAAGGACTACCTATAACAGTGATGACTAACCTTTTTGTCATCGCATCCCAAAAGTGGGGGGAGCGCGGAGGAGTCGCGCACGCGTGTGTGCCCACAACCATAATTCTATGTCCCGCGTCCCCCCGCGCATGCGTGTGCGACTCCCCTGTGCTTCCCCCACTTTTGGCACGTGATGGCACAGTGGGCTCAATAGGCCCATTTTTTGCGCTCCCCAGGCTCCAGAGCCTTTCTAGGAGCCTGGGGAGGGCGAAAACAAGCCTTACCCACCCACCCCGGAGGCCCTCCAGAGGCCGGAAACTACCCATTTGCTGACTTCTGGTGGGACCAGAAGGCCTGTTTTTCGCTCTCCAAATGCTCCAGAGCCTTTCTAGGAGCCTGGAGAGGGCAAAAATGGGCCTTCCCCCGCCCCCCCGGAGGTCCTCTGGAGGCCGGAAACAGCCTGTTTCCCGACTTCTGGTGGGCCCAGAAGGCCCGAAAAAGGAGCTGAGCTCGCGTGCCCACCGATATGGCTCCGTGTGCCACCTGTGGCACGCATGCCATAGGTTCGCCATCACAGACCTATAACACAGATGGCGAACCTATGGCACGCGTGCCCAAAGTGGCACACAGAGCCATGTCACCTGGCATGCGTGGCATCGCCCGTTCTTCTTCCGTGTTTCTGGCGCGCATGTGCGCATGATGATCAGGTGGCCTTTTTGCATGCAGGCAGTGCTGGAAACTAGAAGATCTTCTAGCTGGTTTTCCGTTTTCCTGCATGAGTGTGCGCGCTGGCCAGCTGATCGTCATGTGTGCATGCATGCCAGAAACCCGGAAGATTAGCTGGCTGAAACCGGAAGTTCAGTAGCTGAAACTGGAAGCTCATTTTCGGGGGCCCATGTGCCCTGGGCAGCTCCTCTTCCGGGTTGTGGCCCAGATGCATGCGCGCGCCAGGGGTGGGTTCTAATTTTTTTTACTACCGGTTCTGTGGGCGTGGCTTATTTCGTGGGTGTGGCTTGGAGGTCATGTGACTAGGTGGGCGTGGCTAGCTGGTCAGAGTCATTTCTAGAAGGTCCTCGCACTTACGACCCGACTGATTTGTTTGCTTTTAACACTGATCAGCTGTAGGACGGCCCTTTGAAGCCCCGCGGCAAGAGTTTAAACAGTTTTTTTCCCTCTAGTCATCAGCTGGGACTCAGGAGGCAGCAATAGATTGGGGGTGGGACCTAATAAAAGGTAAGAATAACGTGGGTGGAGGGGTGAGGGGGGTGGGAGGGTGGGGGAGGAGAACCGGTTCGGTGACATCATATCGTCACCGCTACTGGCCCGGCCGAACCGACCGAACCGGGAGGAACCCACCACTGGCGCGCGCACTCCCTTTTCGGCACTTGGTGATGGTTCACCATTACTGTCCTATAGAGTTGATTTTTTTTTTTTGCTCTAGTTTAACAAATAGGCCTGACAATGGTTGTGTTTTTAGCTTCTACATCAAACCACCATTTGTCACCGAGAATCCATATAGACTGAGTGTATATTGGGTGTATACATCAACATTCCCAGGGACAAATATCCTTTTAGGAATCAGTCAACGTTTTATGGTGCTATACAGAGTTTCAAGTGTCTGAAAATGCTCCTTTCTACATGGAACATGTAGAGAGGATATGATTGGCCATGCAAAATGGTACATTATGTGGGCTAAGAGAACACATTCCTTGTGATAACTGGTTTCACACACTGTACTAAGTGATCGTTGTTTAATCATGGATTGTTGAATTACCCACTATGTGTTGGGTTTGTGCAACACACTAGTTAAGGATATTGTTGTGTTAACCAACCAGCAGAGCGTAGAGCACAGGGAAACGGTGCTGAGAGCAATGAATAAAATACATACAAACTGGTTTATCTAAGTTTTTTACTTTATAGTGAAAAACAATCTCATAGTTAGTTAGTTAGTTAGTTTATTATATTTGTATACCGCCCTTCTCCCGAGAGACTCAGGGCGGTGAACAGCCATGGTAAAAAATGTACAACAAAAATTAAAAGCTTATTAAAATAATTCAATCATTCGGCCAAATTTAAAATATCCAACTAAGATCATTTTAAAACCCCTTTCAAAACCCAATTTAAAAAACCTTTATCCTTCATAGGATAAATTATGATTAAAGATCATAGTCTTTAATCAATCCAAGTCTTAGCCAGTCAAATCAGTCCAGTGATACAAAAGTCTTCTTACCATACAAAACAGCAGTAGGTAATAAACAGCAGCACATACACGCTGGTAACAGATCACGATGGTAGCATATCCACCCACGATGATAGCATCTCCACACACGATGGTAGCATATCATCAATGACTACATTTCAGCTCCCTTCTTGCTTAACGCACTGTAAGCCGCCCTGAGTCTCCGGAGAAGGGCGGCATATAAATCAAATAAAAATAAAAAATAAAAATAGTTACAACAGAGCTTATCCAATCAGGATACAATGACTCAGCATTACAATGACGCAGCAGTACCTCTTAAAGTCATAGAATACATATTCATGTTAAAGTCATAGAACACATATATTGTCCATATATTGCCTGGACAATTTGTTAGGCATACACCATATCCTAACAACACTAAACTTGGCACTTTGTGTCTCTTTCCAGGAGAGAGCCTCAGCCCATGGTATCACCTGTAGGAGACTCATTGGCTTGACCTATCAGCTCGTTCAGATGACCCATCGCAAGACCAAAAGCTGGAGAGAAAGTTTTCTGTGACGTTGGCTGCTACGGAGAGGAAGAGCCAAATCAGCCTTGAGCCAAAAAAGCCGAAACAAAAATGACCGATAAGCTGAAAGAGGGACTTGACAAGGAAGAACCGATGGAGAAATTGGGACTAGGCCAAAAAACGCATCCCAGTTCCAACCATTTGGACCCACAGATTAAGGCTGAGCCGGGGGAAGGGCTATCCCAAGCTCCAGTACTGCAATGGCAGGGATCCCCAAAAAGGAAACGGGCCCTTTTATCCAACCAAAGCAAACCACAGCTGTCGGAGCCCCCCATGCTGCGGGAGGAGGACCTCAAAGTCTTTTGGGATGACTTGAAGAGGGGAGAAGAGGCTTGTTGGGGGGGAAGCAGACAGCCGCCTGGCCCCAGAGAAGCCAAGAAGGCCAATGGCAACCTCAGCGCCCAGGAGAATTATGGGAAAATGAAGGCGGCCATCTTGCGTGAGGAAGCCAGCTGCCAGGAGTTGCAGCGCCAACGTTTTCGGCACTTTTGCTACAAGGAAGCCGAGGGGCCCCGGGAGGCTTGCATCCAGCTTCGAGACCTCTGCCGTCACTGGCTGAAGCCGGAGAGGCACACCAAGGAGCAGATCTTGGAGCTGGTGATCCTGGAGCAGTTCCTGGCCATCCTGCCCCAAGAGATGCGGCGCTGGGTCCAAGACGGCGGAGTGGAGACTTGTGCCCAAGCGGTGGGCTTCGCCGAGGAATTCCTCCAAAGGGAAGACCTGAATCACAAAGACGAGGTGAGGATGAGCAGTTGTGAGGAGAGAAAGAAAAGGAGTTCCATAGTTTAACCCAATCCACTACTAGGATTTACATTTTCATGTATTAACTGGAGGCTAAAACATATGAAGAACGGTTGCAGGAACTGGGTATGTCTAGTTTAATGAAAAGGACTAGGGGAGACATGATAGCAGTCTTCTGATATTTCAGGGGCTGCCACAAAGAAGAGGGAGTCAAGCTACTCTCCGAAGCACCTGAAGGCAGGACAAGAAACAAGAGATGGAAACTAATCAAGGAGAGAAGCAACGTAGAACTAAGGAGAAATTTCCTGACGATGAGAACAATTAACCAGTGGAACAGCTTGCCACCAGAAGTTGTGAATGCTCCAACACTGGAAGTTTTTAAGAAGAGATTGGACAACCATTTGTCTGAAGTGGTGTAGGGTTTCTTGCCTAAGCAGGAGGTTGGACTAGAAGACCTCCATGGTCCCTTCCAACTCTGTTATTCTTTTGTTCTAAAACTCTATCACGTGCATGAGAAATATTGGTCTCTCTGATTGTTTGAAGTCTTACAGGCAGTCCTCGACTTATAGCCATTTGTTTAGTGACCGTTCAAAGTTACCACGGCAAAAAGGGACATGTCTTTTTTCACACGACCATTGCAGCATCTCCATGGTCACATGATCAAAATTCAGATGCTTGGCAACTGACTCGCATTTATGACGGTCGAAGTGTCCTGGGGTCACGTGATCCCTTTTTTGCGACCTCCTGACAAGCAGAGTCAATGGGCAAGCCAGATCTACTTAACGTCCATGTTACTAATTTAACAACTGCAGGGATTTGCTTAACCGCTGTGGCGAGAAAGGTCGTAAAATAGGACAACTGTCTTGCTTAATAACAGAAATGTTGCGCTCAGTTGAAGTCTGGGAGTTGAAGTCCGCCAGGCTTAAAGTTGCCCAGGTTGGAGACCCCTGCAGTGGAGTATCAGGTTGACTCTGAGAGGATGTTCTGCCCCCAATCTTCGGACCCCTTTTCTTGGAGCACTTTCCCCCTCCCCATTTTCCCCCCCCATTAAACTAGAGATATCCAATTCCTGCAACCGTTCTTCATATGGCTTAGGACCTGGGTACCTACGAGACCGTCTTTTGCCACCAATAGCCTCCCACCGACCAGTTCGTTCTCACAGGGAGGGACTACTCAGGGTACCGTCAGTCAAATTATGTCGACTGGCGACTCCCAGGGGGAGGGCCTTCTCTGTGGGGGCTCCAACCCTTTGGAATGAACTGCCCCCTGAGATACGGAATATCCCTGATCTCCGTGCTTTCCGCCGTGCCCTCAAGACCCTGATGTTCCAACAGGCGGGGCTAAACATACGAACATGTGAATGATTTTTTAAATGTTATCTAATTCTGGGTTTTATTTAATTGACCAAACTAAGTAATAATTTTAATTAGCAATTTTATGATGTTTGTGTGTCTATATTTTTCTTGACTGTACACCGCCTTGAGTCCTACGGGAGAAAGGCGGTATAGAAATATAATAAATAAATAAATAAATAAATAAATAAATAAATAAATAAATAAATAAATAAATAAATAAATAAATAAATAAATATGTTTTCGCCTCCAGTCCCCTCATCATTTTTGTTGCTCTTCTCTGTGCTCTTTCTTTGCTTTTTTGCTTTGATTTCTTTCTCCATTTCAGGTGCCGGGTCCATTTGAAGACACATCTTGCAGTGTCCCCAAGGCCGGATGTGTCTCCTTTGATTTGCGCCAGACACAACTTACCAAAGATGAGAAAGATCACAGCATGGAAGGCAGAAATTACTGTGGTACGTGAGAGTCTACCCTGATGATTCTATTCTATTCTATTCTATTCTATTCTATTCTATTCTATTCTATTCTATTCTATTCTATTCTATTCTATCCTCCTTCTTCATACATCACATGTGTCAGGTTTCGAGGTCGTCTCAAATAAATTGCATTTCAAACAAAGTCTTTGAAGTAAAACTCCCATTTATTAAGCACGACATTCTGAATCCGACTCCAATTGCAGCCAACACTGACTTCCAGACCCAAAACCCTCCCTTTCCGTTCCCCACTCCCCTGCACTCATTGGCCATCTTCCAAGTCACTCTACCCCTATCTACTGCTCCAACTCAAAGGAATTTCCCCCCTCCCATCCCATCTCCTAGGGGATATTATCTCCAGGGAAAATAAGTAGGTGAAAAGTCAAACGTCCCTTTCCAGATGCCTCCGCTTCTTCTTCCTATGTCAGCACTAGAGTAAATGCAGCTTGAAGTGCTGACAACATGTTTATGTTAATAAGCTTTCTTGTCAAAAGAGGTTAACAAAGTTTATATATCTACATGCCTTAGCTAGCATCCTAGGCACAAGCTTAAATGGACTCCAGAGGATGGTAGAGGACAGGAAGGCCTGGAGGAACGTTGTCCATGGGGCCGCGATGGGTCGGACACAACTTTGCAACTAACAACCACAAACAGTGTCCCACTACAAAATTCAGACGCTTGACAACCGACTCATATTTATGATGGTTGCAGTGTCCTGGGATCATGGGATCATTTTTAGTGACCTTCTGACAAGTGAAGTCAATGGAGAACCCAGATTCGCTTGGCAACCGTGTTACTAACTTAACAACGGCAGTGATTGGCTTAACACCTGTGGCAAGAAAGGTCGTAAAATGGCCCAAAATTCACTTAACAACTATCAATTGTTGTCGTAAATCAAGGACTGCCTTTACTGCCTCTGCTTTAGGAGGAAAGGTGGCATTAAAAAAAAAAACATTTCACAATCACCACTACCACTACTCACTCCTTCCTTCCTTCCTTCCTTCCTTCCTTCCTTCCTTCCTTCCTTCCTTCCTTCCTTCTTTCCTTCGTTCATTCATTCATTCATTCATTCATCTCACTTAAGTGACTGCGGGCAGTTAAAGTTTTGTGGCTGTCAGTTCTATAGATTAACCATTGTATAAAAATATATGTTTGGGGCAGTCGTGAGATGCACTTACCTTCGCTACCGGATCGGAAATGTGAGCGTGCACGCCTCTTCTGCTCATGTGCAGAGGGTCAAAAATGGGACATAATGACATCCCGGCGGGTGGGCGGAGCCTCCCACCACCGGCCCTACCGGCTCGCGCGAGCTGCGTAGATCCTGCTGGATTTCATCGCTGGTTTGGGGTTTTCCCAGTCCTCCCAACATTCATGTAGTTTGTTTGTTTGTTTGTTTGTTTGAAATGTATTAAATTGAGATGCCGGCCATCTCACTGCTGACTGGCAGTTCGGTGAGGGGCCGATGGGGCTGTAGAATTTTGAAGAAAAAAAAAAACAGGTTTGCTCACTCCCTTTTTTTCCAGAACCGGTCATGGATTTATCTTTGTCTCTTTTTTTAGGAGACAGTGAGGAATCTTGTGAACGAGAGAGTTCTTCCACGGGAACTCAAAAGCATGCAGAGGCTCGCCAGGCACTGCCTGGAAGAGGGAGAAGCATTTCCTGGAGGAACGGAAAGCGTGAGAGCAGCCCGGTTCAAAAAGTTAAGATCCCTGTTTTGCCAGAGGACAAACCCTCCATTCGCATGCAACCAAGGTCCACTTTGGAAAATCTGGAGGGATGCAGGAAGGAGGAGAATAACCTTGGACGCAGTCCAGATGTCTTAATAGATACCAAATGTTGTAAGACCTTGGACTCTGCGGCCACCCCCAGCCAGAGGGTGCTCTTCCCTAACCTTCAACGTATCCTCAAGGGCGAGCAATCCTGCAGCTGTCTGAGCTGCGGGAAAACCTTCCATCACAGTTTGAGCCCAGCCGAATGTGGAGATGAGCCTTCGCAATGCTTGGATTGCGGGAAAGACTTGGTTCTTACGAAGCGGGAAAGTCTGGATCGAGGAGAGGAGCTTTACAGGTGTTTAACCTGTGGGGAAAACTTTACTCTCTATTCCAGCCTGATGAAGCACGAGAGGATCCACTCTGGGGAGGGATTGGGTCCTTCCGTGAGCAGCGGGCAAAGAGGAGATCTTTCCATCTTGGAAGAGCAGGTTTCAGGGGGAGAGAAGCCCTATCAGTGTCCAACCTGTGGGAAGAGCTTCAATAAGAGCTCAGCTTTTCAATTCCACAAGCAAATCCATACTGGGGAGAGACCCTACACCTGCGCCAACTGTGGGAAAAGCTTCAGCCAAAGATCCAATCTGATCTTGCACGAGAAAACTCACACGGGAGTCAAACCCTTCCGGTGCTCAGACTGTGGGAAGACCTTCCTTCGGAGCTCCGATCTGGTGAGGCACGAGATCACCCATACCGGAGAGAAACCCTACACCTGCTCGGAGTGCGGCCGCTCCTTCAGCCACAACTCGACTCTGATTGCTCACGAGAGGACCCACACCGGGGAGAAGCCCTACAAGTGTTCGGTCTGCGAGAGGAGCTTCCGGCACCACTCGGGCCTTATCAAGCACGAGAGGACCCACACCGGAGAGCGGCCATATGCGTGTCTGGCCTGTGGGAAGAGCTTCAGCCAGAGTTCGGGGCTTACGCTTCACTTGAGAACTCACACAGGCGAGAAGCCCTACTGGTGCTCAGTTTGTGGAAAAAGCTACACGCAGAGGTCAAAACTGACCAAACATGAGAAAACTCATTTGGTTGAGGTGGTGTAGTAGCTACTCAAGGAAGAGGATCAGTTTAGGGACTCCCGGATCTTGATGGTCCGACTTGGGGCTTGTTGGGTGTCAATAACAAAGCGTGTCAATAGCAAATATGTCTCGATGGATGGTTACACCCAAAGGCTACCCAAAAGTGGCTGTCATTAATTAGCAAAGATGATTGTGATTCTCGGGGCTCAAAGGAAGAAGAGTAGGTGGTTCTCAAGGCATAAGAAGAAAAGGTTTCCCATTAGGACAGATTTCCCCAACCTTTCCGGGTTGGTGGCCTGGAGCAGGGAGAAGGAGGCAGGGGTGGGATTCAGAAATTTTAGCAACCAATTCTCTGGGTGGGCGTGACTATGGTGGGTGTGGCCTACCCCGCCTCCTGCACCATGGTGGGGGGGAGACGTTTTTGCCCTCCCCAGGTTCTGGAGGCTTTCCTTGAGCCTCTGGGAGGGCTCCGGAGGCCCTCCAGAGGCCGGAAACAGGCCCATTTCCAGACGTCCAGAACTTTTTTGCCCTCCCAGAGCCTCCACATGGGCCCTGCACTTACCCGGCATCCAAAACGTGCTGCATGGAGACTCTTGGGAGGGGCGGGGTCAGCCAGTCCTTGCAACAATCGGTTCGGCGAACCAGATTAAAATTAATATCTGGTTCGCCTGAACCCATCCAAACCGGCTGAATCCCACCCCTGGAGGGAGGGGGGAAAGAGGGGATGGATAAACATTGGAAGTTTTTAAGAAGACGTCGGAACCATTTGTCTGAAGTGGTGTAGGGTTTCCTGCCTAGCAGGAGGTTGGACTAGAAGACCTCCAAGGACCCTTCCAACTCTGTTATTCTGTATTCTGATTTGGTGGAATAACAGAATTGGAAGGCATCTTGGAGGGCATCTAGTTCAATCCCGTGCTTAAGTAGGACACATTATACCATTCAGGACAAATGGCTGTCCTATCTCTTGTCAAAAAGCCTCCACAAATGGAATTGGACAAATGGAGCATCCACAAATTCTGAAGGCAAGCTGTTCCACTGATTTCATTCTTTTGTCAGGATGATCTTCTCCAGTTGATCGCTATTGGCTGGAAGTAAGTGCAAATAATTAATGGGACCTCCACCATCCCTCATTGTCACCTGGGTCACTTCCTCTCACAGCACCGAATCCTGGATCTTGTTCAACCCCTCAGTTACCATCTGTAATGAGATGGCGAAGAACCCCGCTCCGTAGAGCCCTAAACTGTCTATGCCCTTTATTCTCAAACTAATCTGAGATAACCAGGTACAATGCTTGATGCCTTCAGACCTTACTACAGGGTTAAGTACAGGTAGTTCTCAACCTACGACCACAAATGGAAGCTGCCCATTATGGCCATAAGTCGTGTCGGTCATAAAGAGGGTCATCATGTGTTTGATTCAATTTTATGACCTTTATTGCGGTCGTTGTTAAGCAAATCACCCTAGTCCAGGGATGGGCAATTGTGGCTCTTTTACAGCCTGTGGACTTCAACTCCCAGAATTCCTGAGACAGCCAAGTTTGGCTGTCTCAGGAATTCTGGGAGTTGAAGTCCACAGGTTGTAAAAGAGCCACAATTGCCCACCCCTGCCCTAGTCACAAAATGAATTTGCAGTCATTAAACAAACTAATTGTTCGTTACGGGGCATTTTTGCGGAAAACCAGAAGTAAATGATGTTTTTTGACAAAAACATTGTAAATTGTGGTCAGGTGACGGCAGGATGCAAGCAAACAAGGCTGGCTGAGGAATTCTGGAAATTGAAGTCTACGCATCTTCAAGCAGCCAAGGTTGAAAAAAAAAATTAGGCCGATGATAGGTTTTCCCCCATGATTTTCTCTTATGTTCTTGTTAAGAAGAATTTTCTTGGGTCTGATTTTTGTCAACCCAGTTACAAATAAACACAAATGGCAGCTGCTGGAAATAGAGTAATTTATTCATTCAACCACATACAGTGACAGAATATCAGAGTTGGAAGGGATCTTAGAGGTCTTCTAGTCCAACCACCTTTCCCCCCATCCAAGCAGGAGATTCTATATACCATTCCAGACAAGTGGCTGCCCAGTCTCTTCTTAAAAGCCTCCAGTGATGGAGCACCCACAACTTCTGGAGGCAAACTGTTCCACTGGATAATTTTTCTCCTTGTTAAGAAATTTCTCCCTAGTTCTAGGCTGCTTCTCTCCTTGATTAGTTTCCATCTATTGTTTCTTGTCTTTGGAAAATAAGTTGACCTCCTCCTTTGTGGCAGCCCCTCAAATATTGGAACGCTCTTATCATGTCACCCCTAGTCCTTCATTTCACTAGACTACACAAACCCAATTCCTGCAACCGTTCTTCATGTTTTAGTTTCCAGGCCCCTTAATCTTCTTAGTTATTTAAACCATTAAACAAAATTAAAAATAGCCTACATTGTTAGGGATGTACCATTAGAGATACATTATGACAAAGCAGGTTTGAGATTTAGATTTGCATATTGAGGTGCTCCTGCCCTGAGCTTTGATTGTGAGGTGTGTATATTAGATGTGTATATTTGGATTGAATACTCTCGAATTGGCCTTTTTTAGTCACACTAGATGCTGTTTTAGGACCTCTTTCCAGGGCATGATATCATAGTCTTTTGAGACTGAAGGATGCCAATGTCATATTTGGATGTTGCCCTGAGGACATGTGAAGTCTGGGAAGGACAATTGCCCTCAAATATATAAATTCTTTCCTAACATGTGGATTTATTAATAGTGGGTTGAATTGTGATTTCTCCTTATATTGAGAGGATTCTGGTGTTTTTGTTTTGTTTTTTGATGGAGCCAATGAAATGCTCTTAATTAATTTTAGTCCAAGTGTCAAATGCAAACCAAGAGGGTTTTTTTTTTCTGTATCTTTATTTCGAGGCTTGCTGGCAGATCAGAGTCTTTTAACTTCATTCGAATTCTCTGTTTATTATATATTGAAGAAAGTGGTGCGAAAGACTCAAATCCCAGCTTTTCAAACTGCTGAGCCTTCTGAACATTCAATCCAGCCAGGTGCCTTCAAAAATAAATAAATAAATAAATAAATCCATTCGCCCTCCTCCATGAAGCCAGCCTTCCCCAGCCTGGCACCCTTGCAAGTTGCAAACTCCAACGCCCATAACTTATAAGCACGATGGGTGTCGGAGTCCAACATACGTGTTAGGGGCCGCTCTATGTTATTCGGACCTGCCAGATCCCGAAAGAGGGGGATGCTGACAGTCGAGCCCGATTCCTAGAGAGGTCGGGCGGACGCCCGGAGGGGGGGGGGGGGGGGCGATAAAAGTGAAGGCCACCCAGTTCCTAGAGAGACCGTACGAACGCCCGAGCGAGGGGGGCGATAAAAGTGAAGGCCACCCCGATTCCTAGAGAGACTGTATGAACGCCCGAGCGACGGGGGGCGATAAAAGGGAAGGCCACTTCCTGTTCCTTCTCCCTTATACGTTCCCCCTCCTCGCCACTTCCTCTTCTCTCGTTCCCCCCCCATCCCCGCCCCCCCCACCCCTCCGCCGGCGCCCTTCCCATCGCTCCGGCGGAGGCTGGTCCGCCTGGCGGCATTTGCGATCGCCGCGGATTTTCGGAGAAGCGGCTTCCAAGACGCACCTTGCAGGTGGGGGTTGAGCGGGGAGGAGGCTCCGCCGTTTTTTTCCCCCGACGCTGATTTTTGCAGACAAAAGGAGCTTGGGGAGGGGGGGGGGGGGGGCAGAGCCAGGAGGGGGGATGGGGAGGGGAGGGGCGGGAGCGCAGCTGCTGAACTGGGGAAAGAAGAGGGGGGGGAATGGGAGGGGTTTTTCCCCCGCCCCCTTTAAATGGAGAAGAGGGGAAACCCCTCCAAATAAAAGCTCCTTTTGCAACCTGATCTGAGCTCCGCAGAAGCAGAACAGATGTCAAAGCCTTTCCTTGCATGGAGAAAAAGGGGGGTGGGTGGGTGGGGGTTGCAGCCAAACCTTTGCAAACTGGGGGTGGGTGGGTTATTTTATTTTATTTTATTTTATTTTATTTTATTTTTATTTTTATTATTTTATTTTATTATTTTATTTTATTATTTTATTTTATTTTATTATTTTATTATTTTATTTTATTATTTTATTTTATTTTATTTTATTTTATTTTATTATTTTATTTTATTATTTTATTTTATTTATTTCATTTCATTTCATTTCATTGATTTGTCAGATTTATCTGGGTGCTCATTCTCTCTCACGAAGTGAACTCTGGGCGGGATCGGGATGCAAAATAGAAACCAGGAATTCAATCACTCCATTGCCAACGTTTTGTTTGTTGCAAAACCCCCATAGCAACCATAGAAATACATTTCAGTAGCAATCAAAAGCAATTTTCCTGATCAAACAACCGGTGGGAAGGGCTTGCCTTGGGAAGTTGTGGCTGCTCCATCACTGAAGGCTTTTAAGGAGAGATCTTGGACAGCCATTTAACAGAGTTGGAAGGGACCTTGTAGGTCATCTAGTCCAACCCCCCCGCCCAAGCAGGAGATCCTACACCATTGATTGATTGATTCATTGATTGATTGATTGATTGATTTGATTTATATGCCGCCCTTCTCCGGATACTCAGGGCGGCTTATAATGTGTTAAGCAATAGCCTTCATACTTTTGTATATACCTGCTTAGGGCTTTCGGGGCCCCCCTAAGCAGTGTTCTTTTTTACACAAAGTTTATTGCCCCCACAAACCGGGTCCTCATTTTACCTACCTCGAAAGGATGGAAGGCTGAGTCAACCTTGAGCCTGGTGAGATTTGAACTTGCAGTAATTGCAGGCAGCTGGTGTTACTTAACAGCGCTTTCTGACAAATGGCAGTCCAGTCTCTTCTTGAAAGCTTCCAGTGGTGAATCTCCCACTTTTGAAAGCAGTTTCTGTTCCATGAGTTGATTGTCAGAAAATTTATCCTTATTTCCAGGTTGAATGTTCAGTTTCCATCCATTATTCCTTGTCTGGCCTTCGGGTGCTTTGGAAAATAGCTTGACCCCCTCCTCTCTTCCCTCCATAGTCTGAAATGGTATAATAAGGTCTCGTGCTTGGACGGGATGTGTGTGTGTGGGAGGGTTGGACTAGATGACCTCCAAGGATCCTTCCAACTCTGTTATTCTGTTATCCCTGTTAAATAAACAAGGAGAGGAGAGGAGAGGGGTTAGAAATATTACCAACGGGCAAGCTCCCAATGACAGGGGATCTCCAGCTTCCCCACACACCACATTTGGAGGGTTTTCTGGAAGGCCCTAAGGGTTGGAGCTGACCTTATCTGGGAGGCTGTGATGTTCCTGAGAATGAGTGAAAGGCAGATGGATGATTGACAGCTGTTCTATCCCCTCCCCACTTCCCCTGTTTTGTTAAGACCTTGCTGGGGTTGATGGTGCAGTGGACGAAAGGAAGGGACTTCTGCCCCTTTTGGTACATTACTGGGGTTCCAAGGTTGGACCCCCAGCTCTCACTTCAACTTCAGTTTGGCTTCTCAACCTTGAATGAAAAGAGCCAGAATGGACTTTGGGGAGGGCAAGCCAAACCCTCCTTGCTAAACGTGCAGATGTGCAGTGTTTGAAAAGAACAGAGGAGGCAACCCTTGGCGCCTGCAAGTTATCTTCATCAAAGATTTCTGCTCAAAGGCACCACTGCAAAAAGCTAATTGGGGATGGGTGCTTGCCAGTGCTTTATTTATCATAAATGACAGGGTTTGGTTTTTTTTTTCTTCCTGCCAAGCTGTGCAGTTTAAAGTGGAGCTTTTATCTTCTCTTTGCAATTATCAAAGAAACGCGTAAGGAGGGAAAACGCTTTGGGAAAAACACGTCTAGAATGTTCCTGCTGGAGTCTCAAGTCATTTGAAAGAAACCCACGGGTAACGATAATCCTCTTTCCCTTTCTCTTCCGCCGTCTGTCACGGAGTAGAGAAACTGAATAGCTGACGTGGTATTTTGGACTGAAGTTAAGATCTTTATTTGGATCGCTGGGTGTCTTTCCAAGTGAGAGTCGATCTCTAGAGCAGAGGTCTTCAAACTTGGCAGCTTTAAGACTTTAAGAGAAACTTGGCAGCTTTAAGAGAATTCTGGGAGTTGAAGTCCACAAGTCTTAAAGCTGCCGAGTTTGAAGACCTCTGCTCTAGAAGGTGGAAAAAAAAAAACCTAACGATAGAAACAACTGAAGCGTTTGTTCACTTTCAGACGGCGATCAAAGAAATGAGTCGCCAAAATATGTATGTATGTGGGCTGAATTTCATCTTGTCACATAATAGAAACTGGTACTTGGACTGAACAGGAATTCTGTGCAATAGAAAAAGGAGGATTGATGGATTGATTAAACTGTAATGAGAGCCTGCCCCCGATCCAAATCAGGCTCGTGGGGGGGGGGGATCACAACCATTTTTAAAAAAGATGTATTTATTTAATTTAGGTAGTCCTTGACTGATGACCGCCACTGAGCTCAAGTTTTCTGTTGCTAAGCAAGACGGCTGTTAAGTGAGTTTTGCCTCATTGTATGACCTATCTTGCCACAGTTTAAATGCAGTTGTTTACTGACTGGCACGTAAGTGAATCTTGCTTCCCCATTGACTTCGCTTATCAGAAGGTTGCAAAAGTTAAATCATATGACCCCGGGTCACTCCAACTGTCATAAAATACATACCAGTTGCCAAGCATCTGAATTTTGATTGTGTGACTGTGGGAGATGCAGCAACGGTCATAAGTGTGAAAAACGGTCATCAAGTCACTTTTTTTCAGTGTCATTTGTCACTAAACAAATGATTGTAAGTTGCCTGTACAATGCAGAGGCGGTCTGACTCCAGATGACCTGTATATTAAATCCCAAGTACTTAAAACTGCCTTTATTGTAAGGTTACATTAAAAAAAGTAAAACCAATTTAGAAACAGATCATGAATAGAATAGAATAGAATTCTTTATTGGCCAAGTGTGATTGGACACACAAGGAATTTGTCTTGGTGAATACCAGTGGTGGGTTCCTCCCGGTTCAGTCCGGTTCGGCCGAGCCAGTAGCGGTGATGATATGACATCACCGAACCGGTTCTCCCCCCTGCCCTCCCGCCCCCACGTTATTCTTACCTTTTATTTGGTCCCACCCCCAATCTATTGCTGCCTCCTGAGTCCCAGCTGATGACTAGAGGGAAAAAAACTGTTTAAATTCTTGCCCCCGGGCTTCAAAGGGCCGTCGTACAGCTGATCAGTGTTAAAAGCAAACAAATGAGTCAGGTCGTAAGTGCGAGGACTGGTCGTAAGTGCGAGGACCTTCCAGAAATGACTGCCCAGCTAGCCACGCCCACCTAATCACATGACCTCCAAACCACACCCACAAAATAAGCCACGCCCACAGAACTGGTAGTAAAATAATTTAGAACCCACCCCTGGTGCATACGCTCTCAGTGTACATAAAAGAAAAGATGCGTTCATCAAGAATCATAAGGTATAATACTTAATGATAGTCATAGGGTACAAATAAGCAATCAGGAAACAATATCAATATAAATCGTAAGTGTACAAGCAACAAAGTTACAGTCATACGGTCATAAGTGGAAGGAGATGGGTGATAGGAACGATGAGAAGATTAATAGTAGTGCAGACTTAGTGAATAGTTTGACAGTGTTGAGGAAATTATTTCTTTAGCAGAGTGATGGCGTTCGGGGAAAAAACTGTCCTTGTGTCTAGTTGTTCTGGTGTGCAGTGCTCAATAGCGTCGTTTTGAGGGTAGGAGTTGAAACAGTTTATGTCCAGGATGCGAGGGGTCTGTAAATATTTTCATGAGCATCCAGAAGGCAAATTCTGTAAGGCAACAAAACATTCTAGACCCAAAGGTGTTTTTTTCAAGAGGCGACTTTTCTTGTTTAACAAGGAAGTCCAGTTGCCTCTTGAAAAAGCCCATTTGGGATAACCGTGAGCTGGATGACTAAGAATCTCCATAAAAAACATCCTAGACCTGCTTGGGTTCCTGGGGAATGCCGTTCCTGCGTTCAAAGTAATCCAGACAGGAATCCCAAAACCACAAGTTCTTAAAACTGCCTTTATTGTAAGGTTGCAATTATGGAATCTTGGAAGTCTGAAAGCATGTGTCCCTTCCATTGCCTTTATTTTCTAGAGCAGGGGTCTCCAACCTTGGCAACTTTACGACTGGTGGACTTCAATTCCTAGAATTCCTCAGCCAGCGCATGCTGGCTGAGGAATTCTGGGAGTTGAAGTCCACCAGTCGTAAAGTTGTCGAAGTTGGAGACCCCTGTACTAGAGAACTAGGAAGGGGCCCTTCTGTGATGCTCTCCATGCTCCCATTTCTTCTATGGGTTGAGAGGTGTCTTGTCTAACCATTGCCTAGGCTAGGGGTCTCCAAACTTGGCAATTTTAAGACTTGTGGGCTTCATGCTGGCTGGGGAATTCTGGGAGTTGAAGTCCACAAGTCTTAAAATTGCTAAATTTGGAGAGCCCCGGCCTAGGTCGGTGTTTCTCATCCTTGGCAACTTTAAGATGTGTGGACTTCCACTCCCAGAATTCATCCTGGTTTGGAATCGAACGAAGTCCCTGCATCTTAAAGCTGCCAAGATCTAGAAATACCGCAGCCCATCGTCCTGCTCCCAAGGTTATTCCATTAACATCTCAACTGGTGGGTGCCTCTGGACGAGCACAATCAAGAAAAACGCAAGACGTTAACCATGAGATGCAAATAAAAGCTCATCGACATCTCACACGTTACGCTGATCACTCAATTATTAAAGGATTGTAGAGATCATCCTTAGGTTAAAGGGCCAACTACCGCCTCCTGCAGGAACAAAACGGTACTTTAGCTAAATGTCTACGGAGTTTCTCAAGTCATCCAGGTCATGGAGTTGAAGTCCACAAGCCTTAAAGTTGCCAAGGTTGGAGACCCCTGAGGTAAAGTACCAACTGAAGTTTCTGGTTTTTCTTTGAAGACGTTTCGCTTCTCATCCAAGAAGCTTCTTCAGCTCTTGACTTCCATTCCCCACCATCCAGTCAAAGCTGAAGAAGCTTCTTGGATGAGAAGTGAAACCTCTTCAAAGAAAAACCAGAAAGTCCAGTTGCCTCTTGAAAAAAGCACCTTTGGTACTTTATCTCAGGGGTCTCCAACCTTGGCAACTTTAAGGCTTGTGGACTTTAACTCCCAGAGTTCCTCAGCCAGCAAAGTTGAAGTCCACAAGCCTTAAAGTTGCCAAGGTTGGAGACCCCTGCTTTAGCTAGTTCTTAAAGTGACAGTAGAATGGGCCATCCCTACTTCCCAAGGGAGAGAATTCCACAACATGAGGGCACCTCTAAGAAGGCCCGTTGAGGGCCCACACCGCATTTGCCTCACTAGGAATGTGAATCTGCAACGGGCCCTTTCTCAATGATCAAGCAGACAGATTACAGGTAGTCCTCGTACTTACAGCCATTCGTTTAGTGACCGTTCGAAGTTACAGTGGCATTAAAAAAAGGCGACTTATGATCATTTTTCACACGACCCATTGCAGCATCCTCAGGGTCATGTGATCGAAATTCGGACACTTGGCCATTGAGTCATGTTTATGACGGTTGCAGTGTCCCCCCCCCCCGCCGGGGTCATGTGATTCACCTGTTTGCCACCTTCTGACAAGACAGTAACAGAGTTGGAAGGGACCTTGAAGGTCATCTAGTCCAACCCCCTGCTCACTCAGGAAACCTGTACTAGGGATTTGAACCGCCAAACTGCCGACATTTCTGATGGACAAGTTCAGTGTCTTAGCCACTGAGCCACCTAGTCAACTCAGTGGGGAAGCCAGGTTCACTTAACAACCGTGTGACTAAAATAATGGCAATGATTCACTTAACCTCTGTGGCAAGAAAGGTTGCAAAATGGGGCAAAGCTCATTTAACGAATGTCTCGCATAGCCGCAGAGATTTTTGGACTCGATTGTGGTCGTAAAGTCGAGAATCATCGTTATAATCTCTTTGGAACGTCGCCTGATTCATCTTCCTTTGTTTTCTTTTTTAAATGAAGCGATCGGCTGGTGGACAGATGGACGACAATGAGGAAACCGTCGACGTGACGACTCCTGGATTCCTGGAACCATGTGTTTCCTTCCTAGAAACAGCCCCCGACATTTCGGATTTCCACAAAGTGGAAGGGATCTGTGAGATCCAACACGGCTCGGTGGGTCTGCCAAGCATGATCCCTGTGCTGGAAGAAGGCCATTCCGTCGAAGGGACGTCTTACATCTGCTCCGATTGCGGGAAGAGTTTCTGTAGCATCTCCAGCCTGATCAGCCATCAAAAGCGAAACCACTCAGGGGAGAAGCCTTACAAGTGCGCGGACTGCGGGAGGAGCTTCCACCAGAGCTCGGATCTCGTGAAACACGAGAGGATCCACACGGGAGAGAAGCCGTACAAGTGCACCGTGTGCGAGAAGCGCTTCAATCAACGCTCCTACCTGATCGTTCACGAACGCTTCCACACGGCGGAGAAGCCGTACAAGTGCTTCCTCTGCGGGAAAAGCTTCTGCTCCAACGCCCACCTCATGACCCATCAGAGGACCCACACGGGGGAACGGCCCTATCAGTGTCCCGAGTGTGGGAAGCGTTTCACAACCAGCTCCAACTTTGTCAACCACAAAAAGACCCACACGGAAGAGAAACCTTACAACTGCTCCCTCTGCGAGAAGAGCTTCAAACGCAGCTCGAACCTGATCCAGCACGAGAGGACCCACACGGGCGAGAAGCCGTACACCTGCCTCACCTGCGGGGAGAGTTTCGCTTCCAATTCGGGTCTCGTGAAACACCAGCGGAGTCACACGGGGGAAAGACCTTACAAATGCTCGTACTGTGGGAAGTGCTTCAGCCAGAGCATGATCCTCACCCAGCACGAGAGGACGCACACGGGCGAGAAACCCTGCAAATGCCCGGCTTGCGGGAAAAGCTTTCGCTCCAGCTCGGATCTCGTGAAGCACAAAAGGATCCACACTGGGGAGAAACCCTATAAATGTTCCCTGTGTGGGAAAAGCTTCACCACCAGTTCGGATGTGGTGAAGCACGAACGGACCCACACGGGCGAGAAACCTTACAAATGCGGCACTTGTGGGAAAAGTTTCAGCCAGAGCGCACACCTCATGCAGCACCAGAGAATCCACACGGGGGAGAAACCTTACTCCTGTCTGATTTGCGGCAGGTGTTTTACCTGCAGCGCGCACTTAGTGGTCCACAAACGGACCCACAAAGATGGGGAGGGGTTAAAAGTATAACTGTCGGTGTTGTCTCAGGCTGGCGGGTTCTGGGTTGTATTTACCGGCAGGCCTGCTGTGTGTTTACCGGCAGGCCAAGATGCTACTCGGCGACAAAACTAACCCCAAGTTTTGTTTGCTGCCACGAAGCCAGATGTCTCTAAACCTAACTAGAATCCAGAATAGAGGAGGGTAGAAAAAGTAATCTGTTTTTTTATTATGCATGGGAGGCAAAAAAGAAAGAAAATCGAGTTTAGGAGAGAAGCCATAATTTTTCCCACTCCAATCCAGACCGGATGGTGGGGAGGCGGAGTGTCTGGAGGTCGCTTTGGCAAAATTGGCGGTAAACCCGAGATGAATTTAACTGGATTACACTTGCCAAAACCCAGTATATTGTGATTTTCATGAATTATTATGTGTGGTTCCTTTGTAATAAATAGATGGCTGTTGGTTGTGTCTTTTCTTTTGGGCCTTTTTTTTTTCTTTTTTTTGACAAAGGCCTCAATCTTTGGGCTGTGCTGAGTCGGAAACTCTGAAATCGCAGATTTTACCCCCTGCCCTCCGAAATTGGAGTTCTCCTCAGCAGCTTTTGCAGGAGAGGTCAAAAAAAGCCAAAATGGCAGCCACAACTTTATAGAACAGGGGTCTCCAACCTTGGCAACTTTAAGACTTGTGGACTTCAACTCCCAGAATTCCTCAACTCAGTTGGCTGAGGAATTCTGGGAGTTGAAGTCCACAAGTCTTAAAGTTGCCAAGGTTGGAGACCCCTGTTATAGAATACAAGCCCTGCCTCTTTTTTTACGACTACAGATAGTTCTCGACTTTCGATCACGATTGAGCCCAACATTCCTGTTGTTAAGTGAGACATTTGTTAAGTTTGTTTAATGGCCATTCAAAGTTTCAACGGCACTGAGGAAAGTGACCTCTGACCCTTTTTCACACTTATGACCGTTAACGGCATCCCCATGGTCAACTGATTTACATTCGGATGCTTGACAACATATTTATGACGGTTACGGTGTCCCGAGGTCATGTGATCCCCTCTTGCGACCTTCTGACAGGCAAAGTCAGTGGGGAAGCCAGATTCACTTAACAACCGTGTTACTGACTGAGCAACAGCAGAGATTCACTTAACACACGCGGCAAGAAAAGTCGTAGAATGGGACAAAACTCACTTCACAAATTTCTCACTTAGCCACATAAAATGTCTGCGCTCAGTTGCGGTCGTAAGCCGAGGATTACCCGTACAGGTAATTGGTGTGAATTCAAATAGGGCGATACTGGATTTGCGGTAAGATTATAGACTGAACCTGAGTTGCGTTTAATGCAAAGCAAAATTCAGTGAGCGGGACACCTGAGTTTGGACAGCTGCCGCTGGGATTTTAGATGCTTAATTGTTGTGCATACAAAATGGTGAAAAGGACGGTTCCATTCCAGGAAAGCTCAAAAAAAGAAAACGCTCATTTTGAAGAACCAGAACGAGATACGGTATTTATTTATTTTATTTTATTTTATTTTATTTTATTTTATTTTATTTTATTTTATTTTATTTTATTTTATTTTATTTTATTTCTATACCGCCCTTCTCCCGAAGGACTCAGGGCGGTGTACAGCCTGATTAAAAGCACAAAGACAGACAAAATTTAAAAATAATTAAAATTATTAAATGATAGGCTCAATTTAAAACCCCAAATATAAAATCCCATTTTTAAAAACCCAATTAAAATCTTTACCTTGATAGCCCAGCCTGGCGGAACAACAAGGTTTTGAGGGCACAGCGAAATACACGGAGATCAGAGATTTTACGAATTTCTGGGGGCAGCTCATTCCAAAGGGCAGGGGCTCCCACAGAGAAGGCCCTCCCCCTGGGTGTCACCAGCCGACATGGTAGCTGCTACACTTTGGATATTTTTATTAAAATGTATTTATTTATCTCCTGCCTTTATTATTTTTACAAATAAGGCGACAAATGTATCCAACACACCTTCCAACCCGATGTATGTACGCATACAGCGACATATACATATACTGTACATATATAGACATACCCAATTCCAGCAACTATTCTTTATTTTTTAGCCTCCAGTCCCCTACTCCTCTATGATGCTCTTCTCTGCACTCTTTCTAGTGTCTCCATATCTTTTTTACCTCGTGGCGACCACGACTGGATGCAGTGTTCCAAGTGTGGCCCTTACCAAGGCATTATAAAGTGGTATTAACACTTCACGTGATCTTGATTCTATCCCTCTGTTAATGCAGCCTAGAACTGTGTTGGCTTTTTTGACAGCTGCTGCACATTGCTGGCTCATATCTAAATGGTTGTCCACTATATTAGCTTTAGTGACCGTTCATTTAATGACAGTTCCAATGGCACTGAAATAAGCAACTTACGACCATTTTTCACACTTAATGACCTTTGCAGCATCCCCGTGATCACGTGATCAAAATTCAAACGCGTGGCAACGGACTCATATTTATGACGGAGGGGTCAGGTGATCCCCTTTTATGACCTGAAGAGCAAAGTCAGCGGGGAAGACAGATTCACTTCACAAACTTGTCGTTAACAACTGCGGGGACTCGTTTTAACAAACGGGGGGGCAAGAGAGGTCGTAATATTAGGGCAACGTTCACTTAACAAAGGTTTCACTTAGCAACCGAGATTCGGGGCTCGGTTGTGGTCATAAGTCGAGGACTACCTGTACTACAGATAGTTCGGGTTTGTCCCAGAAGAAGGAAGCTGAGGAACTGGAAAGAAAGCTGAGGAGAATATCAAGGATGGTGGAAACTTCTGGAAAATATGCAAAGGGTGATCGGATTTCTCCTGTGGGTGTGGATTTATTATCCATCACACCCAGGAGTAGACAAGAACTATAAAATGGAAGTCTCCAGAATGACATCCAAGCTTTTGTAATGGGGGTCTCCAATCTTGGCAACTTTTAAGATTTGTGGGCTTCAACTCCCAGTCAGTTACTACTATGTAGTAAATTGGGAGGCCGATTAATTTAATTTATTTTTAGTTATCTTAACTTTTATATTATATGTTATTTTAATTTTCGGCTGTTCACCGCCCTGAGTCCCTTCGGGGAGAAGGGCGGTATATAAATTCAATAAATAATAATAATAATAATAATAATAATAATAATAATAATAATAATAATTGAGCAAGTTTCCACATATACTGTACCTGTGCATTTGGTTTTTCTTGCCTAAATGTAGAACCTCCTTCAAATAAACCAGAAACATTAATCAAAGCCAGTTCTTGTTATTGAAAATACTACCCAAAGAGGCTCCTTTCTTCTTCCCATCACCATTGTAACTTCGACCAGTTGCTAAGTGACCGATTGTCTTTGACTTACAACCATTCATTTAATGGCTGTTCAAAGTTACAACCGCACTAAAAAAAAGTGATTCATGACTGCTTTGCACTTATGACCGTTGCAGTAGCCCCATGGGCACATGATCAAAATCCAGGTATTTGACAACTGACATGTATTTATGATGGTTGCAGTGTTTCCAGGTCATGTGATCACCTTTTGCGACCGTCTGACAGGCCAAATCAACGGGGAAGCCGGATTCGTTTAACAACTGCATTACTAACTTAACAACTTCCGAGGATTCACTTAACAACTGTGGCAAGGAAGGTCATAAAATGGGGCACAACTCACTGAACACCTGTCTGTTATTAGCAATGGAAATTTTGGGCTCAATTGTGGTCGTAAGTCGAGGACAACCCATAGTGGAGTGGAAACAGGGTTCGGGTTAGGGTCAGGAGCCTGAGTGGCGTAGGAGGCTAATGCCTCCTACTAAGGCAGCATTTAACATCCAGCTGCCTGCAATTACTGCGAGTTCAATTCTCACCAGGCTCAAGGTCGACTCAGCCTTCCATCCTTTCTAAGGTAGGTGAAATGAGGACCCGGTTTGTGGGGGCAATAAGCTGACTTTGTATAAAATATACAAAAATATGAAGGCTATTGCTTAACGCATTGTAAGCCGCCCTGAGTCTCCGGAGAAGAGCAGCATATAAAAATAAATAAAAATAAAAAAAATAAAAAATATATATTCCTTCCCCTCTTTCTGCAAAACTCAAGATGCTCTCTGGATAAATTACAGATTACACAGTATTTAACTATATCAGTGGTTTTCAAACTTGGCAACTTTAAGATGTGTGGACTTCAATTCCCGGAATTCTCCAGTCAGCCTGCTTCTCTTTTCCTTCATTTTAAACTTTTTACTCGCTACCGAACCGCATCGTTCTCAGCTACTTCTGTGCCAAACGTAACTATGCGTGAGATATTTTAACCCAAGCGATTACTGATAAATGGGAGAAGTCCACTGAGGTGCTGCACCTCAAGAAAGATTTGTGGCTGAGCTTCTAAACCAAAAAAAAATTATTTATTTGAAGAACATAGCATTACAGGTAGTATGTACAAGTGGTGTACAAGACGATAATTATCAACATTAATATTGTAAGCTCGCTCCAACCTCAATTATTCAGGCAGATTGCCGGGGGGGGGGGATCAGAAAATCTCAGGTAAAGTTGTGCATGCATTTCCTAACTCTCCCCTCCCAAGATAAAAACCCTGCTTTTTAAAGGTTCAAAGCTTGTGGTGAGATCTTGAAGTGGCCGTGTCCTCACTTGTGTGTCCAGTTGCTGCATTAAACATGCACCCTTGAGCCATAAACATTCATTGTCTTTGGAGAAACGGCAGGGAAGCCAGCAAGAGTCAGGAAAAATAATGTGCTTTTCTGTCTGAATTGGATCTGCCGGTGTCAAATGGATCCTTAGTTAAGGCCTGGGAAAGTGATGGCTGACCTTTCTCCAGCCAGTTTCCTTTAGAAACAAAATTTTACAGCTTTTCTGCTGCAACCATGATATGGCCAGGTAGACAAGGAGACGACACAATTTGGACAAAGGCAGAGCTGTCCAGAAGACGGAGGCTGCACCAGTGTGGCTGAAACTCCATCGGCTTTGCTTCCGTCTCATTGTTGCGGCCATCTTGACTTTTTTGCCCGGATCCTGCAGAACATCCCAGGCATGGGAGTGAAACAAGGACGCTGTCCAACTTAATGTCCATGTCCGTGGTGGTTTAGATCCTTAAATATTGGTGGTAGAGTTCCTCATAAAAGCTCGGGGAGAGATTTTCCTGATTTGGCAGAGCGAGGTTCGCTTAACAAAAAAAAGCAGAGCACGGGAAAAAAAAGGATCCAAGATGGATACAGAAAATCTAAGAGAGGTAGCCATGCATTGCCCTTTAGAGTGTCTTGGAGGCCTCGGTCACATTCCAGTTGTGTCCCAGTGTACGCCAACAACTTTGGGGAGCTGGAAAAGCCCAGTTTTTGAAAGAATGATTTGTGCAGCTAAGATTCCTGCCGTTTCTTCCTCCCGACCCATCAAATACATCAGTCCACACAACCACTTTTTTGTCCTCCTTTTTGAGGACTGGTAATTT